TCTGAGACCTTGGCGTCAGCAGACTTAAGATCGATACCTGATGGCAATACGATCTTGAGCGACATATCTTCCATTCCAGGTACAGCGGATGGAGCCTTAACCATAAGTTGGTGTCTGCGTGTGCCGATATCGAGTTTTAATTGAGGCATGTCGACATGCTCTGGAGCATCGACTGAGACGACGACATTTCCGGTTTTCATGTCAGGTACGGTGACATTGAATGGAATTCGGTTTTCTACAGATAGCAAACAGGTTAGTAAATTTTGACATGAGTCAAAAATGATAACTTGACGGGAAAATAAGGAAATGACGTACGAACCTTTGATGAGAGAGATGGGAAGCTCAGGTGTATGGCCATCAGCGAATTTGATAGATCGTTTACTAATGGAGGTTCGTTGGTGGTTAGTGAAACTGATCACATTTCTTACACGTGTAAAATTTGTAACATGAAGCAGTGATCTCCCTGTATGCAATCGAATTACGATGCATTGGGACAAGCAAATAACAATGATTGCGATAACAATTCAAATAAGATCACTTACTGGTTGATCATATCCGATTGAGACACCAAAGTTGCCGATGAAGACTTGCTCTTCAGTAGAATGGATGGCGGTGGTGATAACGAGGCATTGCTTGGATAGCTCGATAGTTGACGGTTCATTACGGCTGCCATTGTTGGTTAGAATTAGAGTTATGTATGAGCGTTGATAATAGATCTTATTGGGTTGTTTTGAAGATTACTGTTGTAGGTGAATTGCGATTTGAATTTGTCCCTTGCTTTGTAAGCAAGACATGCGGAAAATAGTTCCCCCCACGTTACGTCACTACCTGTTTTGCAAAGGCGGCAGAAATTCAGACCAATGACACAATTCCACGGGTTATTGCTACACGTCGCTGTATACGTAGTGCAGGATGAATGGATATCACAGGAAGTGACGATAACTTGCCATCACATCATCGGAGGACTGAAACACATCAGCCAAGTCACGAGTGTGAGCTTTAACGTCACGATCGACTGAGCATTCAGCAATTAGCACATCCCCAATGTACTATAGATCTGGATGAAATTGACCAGAATGGAATTGTGTGGTTAATTTGACCAAATGATACCGGTCGTTTCGAGCTAACGGCGTTTATACTGAAACAGACCATGCCAAAGTCAGGAATACGGTGCTTGGTGGTGTCTTCCCTTGGTATTGGTGGTGTTGCCTTCTCGAGAAAATCGCGGGTTTGACGAACTGACAGATTTTAGCACAACGAGGCCAAAGATTCCTACATTTTTATAGTTGATCTCAATGTAGTCAGCAGGAGAGATCAATAAAAGCTCAATGACCAAAACCCCACGAGCTTTGCTAATAATGAAGTTTGAAATTCGGCACGATCATAACTCTTAGCAGAACTGTCAGCACAGCCATTAGACCGTCACATCCATTCAATTTGCTTTCACTGTGAATTGTGAATAGATTGCGTACCTGACTTTCCTAGTTTGCTCTGTTCTTGAACGTCCAAATTCATCGAAACCTATCGAGTTTTGAGGTAAGATTAATGTCATCACCCGTGAACAAGTATGAATCCATCCAATTCCCTTACTTGAACTAGTGGTGGAACTAACCCATTCATCATGATACACCATCGTCAAGAAACCAACATTGCAGACATGACAGCTCAAAGCCAAGCAGCTGGCATTGAAGAGCCAGTCGAGTCTCTCAAAGTATTCGACAAGAAATTCCCAGAAGAAATATGGCCTCATATTCTCAATATTGCTGTCAGATATCCAGCATCAGCAATCAATCTCATGGCAACTTGCAAACTGTTTCAGGAAGAAGTACCTAAATGCGAAATATTTAGAGAATATCCAGAAGTTGACCAAAGGAAGGCAATCATCTCGGCAAGGCTCAAAGTGAAGGGGCTCAAGCTTCGAAGGGACAGTAAATTGTGTCGAGAATTCATTGACGAGGCGCAGGTAAGAGTTTTGGTCTATCTAACGCTTGTAGTTGGACTTTTTTGAGCGCTCGCATCATCGCTATCATTGATTGCTGCGTATCAAAACACAGCGCACGCACACTGCTCTCGCGACAAACACATCGGTCTGAACATACCTCATCTTGCACTAGGGCAATCCAGACGATATCGTACGGATCATGAGAGAAATGTCTTGGTACTTCCAAGCTACAAAATATAAAGAAGCTCGCATAGTCGAAGAAGTGCTTCCAGTGGGAGAACAAGATCTCGTACCACAATCAGATCCTTCCAAAGACTGGTTTGACTGGGGCGTTACGCCAGCAGACCACATGAAGCTGCCAGAACCTTCCGTACACCGATATGTAGATTCCGAGTTGGGTAAAGAAAAAGGTCAAGCACGATGGATTGATCATCACTTGGTTACCATGGCTCGATACATGCTTGTACAGGAGATTGATGCTGAAGATGGACCTCCTCCGTCTTTATGGAGAGTATTGAATCAGAAAATGGCTACGAGGATTATGACTGTTATTGAAAAGTCCATAAATAATGACAAGCTTCGACGAGTCGCACGTGCCAAAGCAGTTGAGAACGGTGGAGGCACTGTGGTAACCAGTTGAACAATGCATAGCTTGACATGTGCAACTGTTAACACATTCATCTGCAAAGTAGGACACACCTTCTACACAGCCAACCACAGAATCTTCATCATCTGCGTTGGTAGCTATGCCATCCATGCCCGCTGCTCCAGCAGAGATAATGAAGAAAGCAAACTTGCCACTTGTACTTCCAGAGGAAGATCCAATTTTTGGATGCGGTCAATGTGGCGAAGACCTCGAAGAGCCGTACAAGAAATGTGGTGGATGTCGTCTCGAATTCTATTGTAGTCGAGAATGCCAACGAGCTCATTGGCCCTTGCACAAGAAGGAATGTGCTGCTGCTCGAAAACGTCAATTGGAACCAAATCCAAAGACCTCAGACGAGATAAACTATGAAAAATGGAGTACTGCTGTACAAGTGTATGATGCATCTGGCTCAATAGTAGAAACAACAACTCCACTCACTCCTCTCGCCAACGAAAATGGATTTACCATCAATAACAGCACAGTCAATTCGGAAGGAGAAGAAGGAGAGGAAGATAAAGTAGATGAGGAGGAACTTGAAGCTGCCAAGTCAATTCATATGGAGTTGGAGGAGTTGTACAAGTTGCTCGACAATACTCACGGTATACATGGTACTACTTTGGGTGGGCTTGTACGAAAAATGATGTCTAAAAGGTTAATCAAGGAGGAGGATCTTAAGAAGATGTTATAGAAGTACTTGAGTAGTTTTGTATTCTTGACTTTGCTTCTATTCGATTCTATTGTATATATGTGGCATAATAAGGACTAGCAATACATGACGGACTGATCACTTATTACATCTTTGTCGGTTTTGCACGTCCTCACGTCACATTGGTCTGCGCTTTTGTTAATGTTCCTGTTTTTTTCATGAAAACCAACGCAACAAAGGATTCAAAGACTCCAGAGACGAGGAATAGGTTGGAAGACAAGATCTTCCCTACCCCCATACTGGTGTCTTCCTGATCTTTGACTTTCCAGGTATGCTTATTAGGAGCGAACTGCGTCTTGATGATCAACATTACTTGATTTTGCATTCGCATTTGTAAATTACCAGCATCTATATAATGGATAATATACATCATATCTATATATCTTCATGCCATTTTATCGCTTGATCTGGCGTTCGCTCTTCAATAACCAACATCAGAACAAGGTATCGAAACATTAGTACAAATTTAAATCCAGTTGAATTCGTCGGACGAATCTTCTCCACCATATACCGCATGTTTGGCGACAACATGTCAAATCTGATGACCTGCAGCAAGCTCTGCGAACAACTCGTCTTGAACTTGAAAGAATACCGAAGTCTCGACAACCATCAAAAACGTCATGTCCTTCTCGAATCGGAATTGATGAAGAGAAACCTTTATTTTAGAGCCAATTCAAGGTTTTGCTCTCAACATATCATGTATGGTACGGGTACTGCGCCAAAGATTGCAGACACTATGGTTGAAATGATGTTGTTGTTCGATCATACGACTTATCTTGGTGACTGGTTTAAGAGATGTATTGAATGGGTATCTCCTTGCATTAACATTCTATTTGTTTTCAAAGACGACCGATACACTGAAGTCAAGTACTCTGAAGAGTGCGAGGAATGAGAGTACGATGACAATGGTGAGCCTGCTTGTCCATCAACCCTACTGCCTACTGACACTGAATCCAAAACATATCATTTATCTTTGCTGTTATAGACCCTCGTCGTAGATACGTAGACTCTGAAGCTGGCCAGCAAAAGGCATTCCGAAAATGGGCCGTCATACTCATCAACAATGACAACCATATCTTATCATCTGAAGCCGATAAACGACCACCAAACTCGATAAGGAAATTGAAATGTATGTACGCAAATTGATTGCCAAGGCAGTGCAAGACATCAAACCCAAATTCGTGAATCGCGAAGCATTTGACAAGTTTTTGGATTACGAGTTTATGCCACGAACGGGCAAGATGTCTGTTTTGGTGTCCAAGTTATTCAAGATGTGAAGGGACGAGATTTGTGCAGTTTCGACACCAAGGTGTAAATGGTAGGGTGGAGTTAGAGAGTCGTAGGCTAGTTGTTTAGGATCTAGGCACAGATGTAGAATTCCAGTGAGGTGTAGGAGACTAGTTGTAGTTGGTGATTTTGCAACGACAATATACAAACAATACAAGTACAAAGGACAGCACGTTGTAGCGGGCGAAATATGTCTCCGTCACCACGTATCTTTTGACATGCCTTCTCCGTAGGTGATTGGTTCTCCCGACAGCTGCTTTACTGTGACTGTGCAGCTTATTTCTCAGCCTGATTAGATTTCTGCCACGTTTGTCATCAACAAAACACGACATCACATCCACAACACCGACGCTCCACGTTTCAATTCCACACAAAACACAAACGGAAAGCCTCGTTTACTCTAATTGAACATCAAAAGAATGACTACCATTCAGGACATGCCCTACACTACCAGCACAATGCACCCAACGATCATCCGAAAGCAAACATCACTAAACAATCTGTTGGAGGCTGCAATCCAGGAACTGTTTTATAAACCTCACCACGTATTTAAACAGTCCTTGCCATCTCCAGTATCATCAAAGATCGCTCTGAACGGCATCACGAAGAAATCCAAGTAAGTACCTCATTCTGTCGCCAAGATTTTACGACAGTACATTTTCACCCAGTGCTAACAATCACGTCCTTTTCTCGCAGTGGTACATCAAGGAAACGTGTCTCCTTCTCGGATAGTGTCAGCATAATCAGCTTCACTGGCCACAACTCCCATCATGTAGCTTCTGTGTCTCCATTCTCGGCGTGTGGAACTCCAGACATACCGGAATCTGGCCTATTCAGTGAAATCATAACAACGGATTGCGCCTATACCACGTACTATCGTATTCCAGAAGGGATCAAGGCAGATCAGCTAGTTATAACGCTTGTGCAAACCAGGAATGAAATCACGATAAACGGACCGGACTCGATAGATGTAACGACTATACTACCGCATGATGCAGACTTGAAGACTGTCAAAGTAGACGTATACCAAGGGAACACATTGGCTGTGACTGTGAGGAGGAACAACTGATGTTGGAACCTTACGCAAAGTCTGTAAACATGCAACTGTAGTATATATAGAAACCACTCTAAAGTTATTAATACAAGACATTACATCTATACTATCGAATGCGTGCACGTTTATGAGCTCGGTACTCTCCTGCTCGAGCTTGAGCTTTTGGCTGTGTTTTGGGAGCGTTTGATGAAACTCACAGCCCATGCGTTGAACTTTAACGCGTAGAGTACGTCTGAGAACGTGAATACTCAATGTACGATTAGTACAATTTGTGATTCTCAGCTTTGCAGAGTCGTTCAAATCGTGAATTTGTCTGTTTGTCGATTTTACAAATCCTCAGATGTTGTTGCGTACTCTGGACTTGGAAACCAACGATTAATTACACATTGTATGGAAGCTGCCATCTTCTACACACTCGTAATCGCCGTATCTGTTGCACTAATCGCTTGGCAGTATAACAACCACGCTACAACAACAACAGACAGGAAGATTCAAGCTACCGTGAAAGAGCCATCAATTGGAAAAGAATCAGTTTCGACTGTTAACAAGCCAAAACAACCGAATATGACCATAGCCGGAATCACAATCCCTGCAAAGGGCAAACATCTTGCCACACTAATCTTCTTGCATGGTCTTGGAGACTCAGGACAAGGATGGTATGTCTCGGCACTGGAACGTATACTTGATGCTGGATCCCAACCTCGTCTGGGCTGAGCCTGAGCTCAAAACGTCGCTTCGCTCACATCAAAGCGTTCTGACAAACAGGGCTCCAGTTGGACGAATGATACAACCTCAACTACCACATGTAAAGATGATCTTTCCTGATGCACCAACACGGCCAGTGACTGTAAATAACGGCTACCGCATGCCTGCCTGGTGAGACATGCCCAAAAACATTGTTGGTGAGATGACGCTGATTCAGTTGTCGTTAGGTTTGATGTGTATCAGCTTGGAGCTGCTGCAAGAGGAAACACACGAGTTGATACTGAAGGAATGAACGAGACTTTGAAATCCAGTGAGTACCTCAACCCGCAATAAAGCAAGACCACAACCCAACTCGCTTTTGTTTATAAGTAAACAGTTGGATTAGTGACGAGATCGAAGCTGGCATACCTGCAAGCCGAATCGTCATTGGTGGATTCTCGCAAGGAAGCGCAATGGCTTTATTACACGCTGTGACATCAGAACGCAAGCTGGCGGGATATATTTCTTTATCTGGTTGGTTATCTCGTCCTGAAGCGATTGAACAAGTGAGCATCATGTCGTTTGACAAGGCTGTGACTGGTTGCCTGCGTTTTTTGGTGCGATTACTGTAGCTGTATCTTTGATTCTAGTCTCCTGGCGCCAACAAGGAAACACCCATATTCATGGGTCATGGCGACTCTGATGAAGTCGTCTTGCATCATCTGGGCGTAAAGTCTTATGACGCTTTAAAGACTGCAGGATGGAATGTTTCATGGAAGACGTATGAGGATATGGGTCACTCTGCTAGGGAAGATGAGTTTGAAGATATCACAAAGTTCTTGCTAAAAAATCTGCATGCCGAATAAGTATCTTCCGTGTACTCTTTTAATATATAGCTCACGTTAGACGGAAACAAATATTACATTGGAAACAAATCTTGCTAGCACGTTTCGCTCGTTGATAGCTTCAGAAAGGTTGAAAAACTGGACTGAATTTATTGTGTTTACGCAAAAAATCAAACATGGCTACACAACCGAACAGATTTTTAAATCTTGACGAATCCACTCTCTTCACCGGCAACAGATGGGTAGAGGCGAGACTCACGTACTTGAATACTACGACCTTCAACAAGAAGCTTTGGGAAGGTGATTTCCAAGACACCAGCATCCATGGACGCAGCCACACGACTCATGTCTGCTTTACGAGGGATTATGGCTCGAACATTTATGGTTCGAGGACTCGAGGTTGGAGACCGAGCTGGAGAAGTGCCGATGATTCGGAGTTCACGGATGTCGTCCAAAACTATCGGTGAAATCGAGGAGGGTTAGATGCACGCTTTCTAGAATCTTTAATGAAGGTTACCAGTGAGAGAGATCTCGTCTCGCTTAAATCCGGGTACATCAATGACCAAGATGTACTGAGTGTCGGTCTACTCGTTGCGTGAGTTGGATGTTAGCATTCTGTTGAGAGTCTACTGAATGCAAACTATCTAATACCTCATGAAGCTCCTTTGATTGAGATACGCAAGGTTTGCCCTCAGCATCCACATCCATAAACCCAAAGGAGGCAGAAGCAGCAGTTGCTACTTTAACTCGTTCTTGAGTTAGAGCATCAAGTGCTCTGTTCTTGGCATCGTGTGCTGCTCCACTGGGAAGAAAAAGAGAGGATTGTGGAGGTGAGTACATCAAGTGCTCAGGTTGATTGTGATCTCATGTGACTTACTAGACAGAATCAACAATCTTCTTCCATTCTTCGTCATTGAAGATTCCATTGTGTCGGCAGGCTCCACCACGACGCATGTTGCGTACGTACTTGAAAGCAAGACCGAATAAGGCAACCTTGACTAGGAATCCGATCATGGCTACGAATTGTGACGTGAGTGAGCTAGGAGCGTGTTCGTACAACGAGGATTGCAAGTCGTACCTTGTCAGACGAGATTGAGATAGGGTGAAACTTGTTTGGTATGGCAAGTCGAAAGCAATTTACAGCTTGCGGTTAGCGTTGGTGTAGATTTAGAGAGTGCAGCTTCAAGCTTATTTGTGCTCGTTTTGATATTGTTGCTGGAGCGAGTTCTTGACCTGAAAGCGTCGCTTTTATAGTAGCAATAGTAAAGCGACGTGGTTTTTATGCTTGTTGGTGACAGAGTGTCACTTCCACCCGCAGTGGCAAGATTGCAAACATGTACGTGGCAGAATCACACAGCTCAGCCACATCACACAGCTATGCACAGTTCCAAGGAACCGTACATCAGGGAAGAAGCATATTATAGCTGATCTCGCTTGATCTGACTAGTTCTTAGCCTCTTTGCAAGTAGGTTGCGCTAAAAACACGTTGTGTCGAGTTGCATGTGAATACGGGGGTAGAAACAGGTAATGGAGTTGAGTATTGCTAATTATTCACTATTCCAGACACTTTTATGCAGAATGCGTATTGGAAAGGGCTTTCTGCAACAGAAAGATGGTACATGCATTCCACATTTGCAACTTTTGGAAGCAACGCACTATAAAACGGCAAATTTTGGAATTGTGGAATTGGTAGCAAAATAGATCCAATTATAATGAGTATTCAGAGATGTTTATGTCTTCAATCGCACTAAGAAACAATCGTGATTGCAGTATATTTCGAGCACCCAATGTAGGTCAAATACAAACCAGTGCAAAGCAAAGACAGTCTTCAAACTTACTTGCAATCGGAATCACACATTAAGTAACGCGAATATGTGCCTTCCTCTCCCCATCTTCCTCCGTGACAACAGCATTCGTATTCTCACACTCGCCGTCTCTCCAAAACATTCAAACCAACGACAATGAATTTGTTTGGAAAGGCCAAGGCAGCAAAGACAACTCCCAAGGATGCCATTGTCAAGTTACGAGAGCAGCTCGAGGTACTGGATAAGAGGGAAGCATACCTGCAAACCAAAATAGATAATGAACTGAAACTTGCGAGAACCAATGCTAGCAAGAATAGGAGAGGCAAGTAGAATAGAACATGGATTAGAGAGAGCTTGTTGCTAGAGTACTATGCCTCCAGCATGGTGTCCTTGTACTGGCAATCATGTGATGATTCAGTGGACATTTGAGGATGTTTTTTCGCCACAACCAAGGCGTCTACTTGAAAAACTGGTATATTGAGACGACTACATTACAAGGCTAACGTATATCTACATTTGTCTGATAGTTGCTCTGATGGCATTGAAGAGGAAGAAGGTGTATGAGGAACAGATAACGAAAATAATGGGATCACGAATGACACTAGAAACACAAATGATGTCTATTGAGTCTGCCAATGTCAATCTCGAAACAATGGAAGCCATGCGACAGGGCGCTGCCGCTATGAAACAAGTTCATGGCAAAATGTATGTAATAGTGTCGGGGATCTTTTTGTCAATCATTGTTGGTTCCCAACCAAAACAAGGACAAGATCCAATTCCCTTCACGTCATTCATCACGTCAAATGCTCACACTACTCATATGCTACTTAGGGATATCAAGAAGGTTGATCAAGTCATGGACGACATTCGTGATCAAATGGACCTGGCAAATGAAATATCAGATGCAATATCACAGCCAGTTGGATATGGCATGGAATTCGATGACGATGAACTGAATCAAGAGTTGGATGAACTAGAACAATTGGAATTAGATGAAAAGTTATTGGATACATCATCACCTCAAGCCAACATCAACAATGCACCTGCTGTACCCAACACCATACCAGGTATGATTAGAGTGAATGCATATTACGATGCGTATGATTACAGGAGGATATGTCGCAGTGCTTATGGAGGCTGACACTAAATCGCTTTTTTTAGCCATCGCACAACCACCACGACCTGCTAGGGTACAGGTGCAAGATGACGAGGACGCAGAATTAGCAGAGTTGAAAGCGTCTATGGCCTTATGAGTCTCCTCTTAATATTTTATTCGTTGTATAATAAACGTCGTTCAACACATAGGAGTTCTGCAAGAAAACTGTATTGCTATTGTGTTTTCACTTGCATTGCACGTTCGTCTATGCGGCAAACATTATGAAACTATAATGAATGGTTGGTTCTTAGGCTCAGATCTATCTTCAATTCTTAAATACTGGTTAACTTTCTTAATTGACTGGATCGCTGATTGAGAACTATAAACCACACCAGAGCCATGAGTACTATGAGAACACAGATAGCACCAGCAGCGGACAACTACTCTTCTTCAGCACCGGACAAGATGGAACTATGGGGAGACGATTCAACGCGCCTTGGACTTGTGGAAGCACAACGAACTATTGCAGTGTTATCGGAAGCATCGAAGAAGGCGGCTATTGTGCATTATCTGAGTGGAATTAATGCTATTCCTCGTGTGGATCCTACCGTCGCTGCTGCTTTTTCGGTTTGACATTTTGTGCAAAGAAATTCGATGTGAAGCATAAATTCTGACGAGGACTTTCGTTAGGCATTCAAGCAAGCTCAATCTCAAGTTAATGATATGTCGGCTAAGAAGGATCCGAGTTCAGAAGTATGGGGTAGTTTGCTGTGGGTTTGAATTAAATGCTTACATTCATCATTTCTGAACCTGTTTTTGTTCTAGGACGAATTAAAATCAGCAACAGAATCCCTACGCTCATCTACCCGTCAATTATGCCGTGCAGTCATATCATCAGCATCAGCACTATCGAATCTGAAACAATTAGAGGCTAGTCAAGCACCAAAACAGAATGAAGGACGCAAGTTTTTGGAATTGTTGAGAGAAGTTCGAGTAGCCTTATTCGAACGATTGAGAATGTCTGCTGACGAAGAAAAGACGAGGACAGAGAGGCTGGCCGCCTTATTAGCCAAAGAGAGAAAGGTATGGGATTGAAATGAACTTGGGTGTTATTCGATGGCTGATCTGAGTTTTTTGTGCTGCCAGACTACAACGGAAGTCAGTCAATTAACGGCAGAGCTGGTTGCTGCACGAGTTGACCGAGAAAAGCAGGTCAGGATAAAGAAGGAGGTTGTTAGAAAGTTAAAAGGTAAACCGTGCCTGAGTTCAGGTAGAGTTTATTTTGCCGCTCACAATCCAGTCACATAGATGAATTGGCGACAATCAAGGCACAGAATGAAGACATTGTCAGGAAGATTGAATCCAAGTCTAGAAGCAAGCAACAATCTGAACTCTCGAGCTTTAGCGAGAAGGTATGTCTTATGAACTCACATTAACTGGCACTGCTATCGTTCTTTTAAGCCCTGTCCGTCACCTATAGGAATCCACATTCAAAGCCGAAATCGCCACTCTTTCAGCCCAACTCGACACCTCCATCAAGACCCACCGCGAAGAAGAATCCAACATGCGTAGACGCAAATTCAAGATTGAATCTGAAGTCGAGAACTGGATTCACAAGTACGATCAAGATATGGAAGAGAAACAGAATGAATATGATGAACTTTTGGTAAGGCATTCACTACATTTCTAGTCCGTTTTTTAGTTGACAAATCTAATCCTGCCACATCATAGTCTGTATTCTTGGAAGAAAAGGCCCAACTGGACGAAATATCAACCCGACACAAGCAATTACAGAATGAATATAATGCCTTTGTGGAAGAACGACAAAAGAATCGACCGGATTCGTCTCCTGCTGAGGGTGTTGTTGAAGCTATTTTGGAAGAGGAAGTTGAGGATGACGGTGCTGCACCTGTTGCTGCTACGCTTTCTGCTAGTGTTACATTGGCTAGTCCGGATGCTGAATAGACGCGTTTATTGTTTTATATAGAGACACTACGAAGCTGGGTTTTAATTTTCTTGGCGAAAACAGTTGCGACGTGATTTAGGCCTGTTGATGCATTGAAACGGGCTTCCTGATCGGCAGGAATATACGAAAGACAGGCGGGCAATATAGTTCATCCTTGATTGGTATTTCGGGAGCAACAGTCACATGTCATGCCTTAAAACGAGCCTTAAGACGAACTTTTCAAAGACTTTGGTTTTCAAAGGCCATAGTAAAGCAATCATATAAATCCACTTAATTTCCACGTAAATCCGTCCCTGTTCATACGTGGTCTTACCGTCTTTCACGAAAACTTCGCCGAGAGCCCTCATTTGTCACGAGGCAAAAAGACCCAACGAACTTTTCTCAACTCACCGTTAGAAGCAGAAGCGGAACGACTAGAAATAAGGTATGAATCTGCAGCTGAGTTGACAACATTGCTATTGGCATGCATGAACGACCAAGCACTGACTCACAATTCCATCCAATTTAGACAAGCTTCACAACCTAAGAAAACATCCACCCCGGCACAACATTCTTTCCATCCATCAAACACTCACCACAATGACTCTGGACTATGATATGGAAGATGCTGTAGACGATGATGACAAGAAGCTTGTTACTACGACGACTCTAGATGTTTTACGGACTGCCGTATTTTTACCACTACTGCCAATTCGAGTTGCCGGACTGGCTCTTTCTGAAGCGCACTATATGGCTGCGTTCGCTGCTCACAACTTACAGAACTTGGTGGAAACGCTGGTTGCGTATGCTCATACCGGTGCCGCAAGGGAGACCTGGGATTTTACATTTCATATATTAATGAAACTTATGCGTGGGATGCTGGTGAGTGCTCGTCGAGAAGATCTGTTTCCTTGCTGCTGGCATACATGAATAGCTTGAACATTCATTTGAGAGATGACTCGTTGCATATGCCGAAAGTATTGGCCGACACATGTTAACACATGATATAACGAAAAACTCTAACAAACCATAAACATCTCTTAGCGCTTTCGTGGACACGCATTGTGGAAGGCCCGCGCCGGTACCAGATTCACTATAACGCCCATGTCACGCACAGTGCGCATCCTTCCATTCAAGTTCCACGTGTCACGCACACAGCTGCTAGAACCTGAACGAGAAGCCGCTGGACTGAGACCTGAGGGCGTATACGGATACACAATACCTGAAGAGCTAGACGCTAAAGATAGATCCAAAGATTCCATGACGATAGACGGTGAATGGGTGGAGTACACTGGACAACACGGTGCTGATGGAAGACCAACAGGCAAACCAATGCCAGATGCGACTGGTAAAGAGTATGAACGAATAATGGCTCAGTATCGGGCTTCGTGTGCTGCTAGTGGGAGGAGGCAGAAAGTTATACTTTATTTACATGGTGAGCTTTTGTTAAGCTGTTGCATTGCTAATTTGGACGTTTATTTTGAACGCCAAAAGCTTCAGTTTTGGAAGAATGCCATTCTCAAATACCATTCGCATCGTTAGGAGGGGCCTATATGTTTTTGAGTGCGAAAAGTCATCGGTTCTTGACAAATAGGATTGCGCAGGAGACTGGTGCCCGATTGTTTGGTATGTCTTTACGAATCGAATCTAATTTCCTAAAGTTACTCATAAGTCCCTACCTCTTACAGTGGTAAACTATAGACTCGCACCCGAGCACCCCATGCCCGCTGCTTTGCACGATGCATTTGCTGCATACCGGTTCCTCATAAACCCACACGACCCGATCTTCAACAACCCGTCGTCATTCTTCACCGCAAACTTCCCCATCCATAAACCAATCAATCCACGAGACATTATAGTTATGGGAGATAGTGCCGGTGGTGGTTTATCTACAGCACTGACAGTCTACTTGAAGGACTACCTACGAAATGCAGATGGCGCTCCCATGTATCCACTACCAGGTGGTCTAGCACTAATCTCACCATGGGTCGACCTCACGTGCTCATCCGAATCATTCAAAGCAAACGAATCAACCGATTACCTGCCAAGCAAAGACGGCTCAGTCTTTGAAATGATGTATACAGACGGTCCAAACCCCGTCTTCGCATATGTAATTGGTTCGAAACGTGTACATCGAACATTTGTGCCGGGCCATACAGCATTCATGGCTACGCCAACTGAAGAACAACGACCGGCTTCTCCTGAACGATCTTCCGGTAAAAGAACACCATCGCCAACATCGTTTAATCCGGCGGCATGGTTGGGTAGGAAGGATTCAGCTGTAAGTGAGATTGGAAGACCTGTGGCTCCAACTGATCGCCCTACTACATGGGTGGACGACGAGGAGGAGATGTGGAAGGTCTGTCAACATCCGTTGATATCGCCAGTGTATGCTGATCCGTCTGGGTTCCCTCCTACTTTGATTGTGAGTTTGGTGCAAACAATTCTTATGCAGTAGTCGTTGTTTTGGTGCTTTCCCCTGGCTTGTAAACTCACGCTTCACTTTATTCATTTAATAGCAAGCAGGAGATGCCGAAATGCTGCGAGACGAGACACTGATGCTCGCACACAAGATTGCATCTTGCAATCCCAAGGTTGCTGAAGCTGGGTTTGTTAGACACGAGTTATATCGTGACATGGTATGTTGCTTGTTGCCTTCTGTGAATGAAGGATTTTCCAGGACTGACGATTCGTTTTTTTACGCAGCCTCACGTCTTCCAAGCATTCCTCTGGCTCCCATCCGCCCGCTGTGCAATCCGCAACATTGCCAACTTCATCCGCTCCCTGGACTCACCCAGCTATTCCGGCTCCCACGACGGCGTTATGGACATGATGTGCCCCGACGCCCATCTCGCCGAAAACCGTGACGTCCAAGAAGCATTCGCCATCCGCAAAGTATCTGAAACCAACGACCACATCGTCATCGATCTCGACGATCTAGAATCCCTACCGCCATCACCGCCACTCAACAATGCTGTAATAGAAGATACCAATAATGATAGAGTCGAGGCTGCCATCAAGGACGTTGTGTCGCAAATGATGGGTGAATATGCTACGTCGGATGCTAGTGAGTTGAAGAGGAAGTCGTCGTATGCGAATTTGAAGGCTGCTGAGAGGCAGGCTGAGAGAGAGAAGTGGGCTGAGAAGAAGAGGGAGAATGGGGGTGAGGAGGAGTCTGATGAGGAGGTTGGGGATGCTGGGAGGGCGTTCTTTAGGGTGCATTCTTCTTTGGGTTTGAAATCGCTGGCTCTTCCGTTGACGCCGTTGTAAAAAGGATAGAGAGAGGGACCTATTATATATTTTGCCAAGTAGTGCTATTTAGAAACAACAGCATTGTATTTAGTCGGTCAATATTATAAATTCACACAAAGTAGACAACAATCGTCTGTTTGTACACAACAGGTAAGTTTTTTGCTCGTATTTGAAACTTTCGCGTTTTGGATGCAATGGAGAGTGAATGCCAGAGGAAAAAGTGTATTATTATGCGTTTCTTGTGTTGAAATGATATCTTGTTATCTTACTACTAAAAGTACCACTACAACCCCTGCCGACTATCCTGCTTAACCATCTCCGTAATCCTCCACCCATTCGTCCTAGGATTAACCGGTATAGTAGGATCGAGCACCTGGTCTTTCGTCAGTACCATAGCATAAGCAGCATGCATGATTTGGTCTTCACTGCCCAGTTTTATAGCACCCGACAATCGATCTCTGAATACAAGAACTTCTTGAGTTCGATATGTAAGTACGAGAACTGGTATACCGTTTTCTAAGAGTTTGGCTTGTGCTAGTTCAACGTTACGGAGATCGAGGAGTTTGCAGTCGGATTTTAGGCCTGAAGTTTCTTGGGCTTGGATTCCGACGTTGAGGATGGAGTATGTCTAGGAAGGAAAGGAGTGAGAAAATGGGTGCAGTTGAAACAGGGGAGCAAAAAAACCGCAACGTTGTGCTATACAATCTCACAGCTGTTCAACCTGCAAGTGCAGCAACCACACGAACTCACCACATCATTAACCCAATCCTTTAGCCCAACTTTGTCCGATCTCAAATACGTTTCCATTATGTCAGGAATCATCCACCTCGTAGCCTCCCTTATAAAATTATCTATCGAAAATCCAGGCTCAACCGTCTGTATAGCTCTCACAACTTGAGCCTGCTCAGTCTCCTCAAATGCTCCCTGTACAGTATACATGATACCTCTCACACGATCCATAAACGGTGAATCAGATTCTTCGATACGGCGATGAGCTTGCAGTAACGATTTCGTCAAGGGATTGTTTTCCTTGAATGACTTCCACGCTCCCGACCATTTCGATTCTTTATGTTCGACGACTGATCCATCTGCCTCTGGGTTTGCAGAGACTGGTATGGCATGGTGAGCACCGAATGGGTTTGCGGCACGAGCATCAGCGAGCCGTTCAGCACGTTCCCGTTCTCGCACATCTTTGGGCTTGTATTCCATATATCGAGGGTTTGCACCCTCTGCGATTTCCTTTTGGATTTGTTTGGCACCTGCTGCTACAGCTTTGGCCACTTGGGTGTCCATTATAGGGTCGGATATTTTGGATGCTGCTTCACCGACTTTCCCAGCCACGTAGGTAGCGCCTTCTGCTGTTTTACGAAATGATTCGGATTCTACTACGTGTTGGACGTTTTCGGCGACTTTTCCTGCTGTTGCTTTCACTTGTTGGACTACCTTGGACGTGGATTCGGCACCTGCTGCTGCTGCTTTGGCGGCTGCTTGCATCATTTCTGATTCAGTGATCTAAGATACAAAGTAAGGTTAATTCAGGAAAGACAAGGTCAGCTTGTAGACATCAGTTAGAGGTAGATTTTTTTGCGTGCGAGCTTGGCACGTCTTACACTTCCTCTCCAAGCCCCTCACCTTGTTAGTCTCAGCAGACAGCTGTTTGACACTCTTTTGGAAATCCTTGTTTTCATCAATCTGCCTCCTTATAGACTTTACAAACTCTGCGAAGACATTCAGAGAGCGAGCGTGTTGATGGTTTACATATGAATGCGATGGTGAGGATCCTGGTAGTAGCAGTGATCGGTGAAGCAGTAATGAAGATGAGGTTTGCCTTGAAGTCCATGCAGGCCTCGGCATGGTTGATTGGTTTCGTATGCTGGATGTAATTGATGTTGATGGTGTTGTAGAGGGTAAGCGTATGGTGTGAGTGGATTGTAGTGTGTTTGAATACTAGTTGTAAGTGGTTGTTTAGTATAAGCGGTTATAAATCTGTTTGCTGAATCGAGCTGCTTGCGTTTTTTTTGCAAGCTAAAATATTCAAAGTTTTGACCGAACCTACCGTGCACCGAGTAGCGGCAAGCTGCAGAGATGATAATGTCCTATTATGCATGATATCTACAACTTTGCTTGTCCTCCGATTGTTTTTGACTGTGGTGTTGAGATTGACGGCTTTCAAATATTTCAACGTGGTCATCGGCAAACATTCTGGGAGAGAGATTGACTTGAGCTGGAAAAGCCATAAGAGGAGTTCGCGTCATGCGAGCCTATAAACCGTTGCTCTAAGGGCAGATCTCCTTTGAGAACTTTAGCCAAAAGGAAAAGTTTGGGCCGCAAGAAGTCGGCATTGTTCGTATCGTTCGCTCATCGTTCATGTAAAGTTCATGAATTAAATACACGTAAAACATCAATGTTCTCTGCTTTCCAAGCCGTTCCATCTCTGTCTTTACCTACAGTTCACATTAACCATCCAAACTCCATTTTCACGAGGCACTTCGTAAGAGCAGTCAGCTTGGAGCTCCGAAGCGGAACGTATACATCTAGCCACGAAACTTTGTATGCTGTTCTTTCTGTTTGCCGATTGTTCTTTGCGTCCTCCTTCCGTCAGCATTGAGTTCTGCAACACTTTTTGACTCCCTCTCTTGCACACTGTAGAAGCCTTCATCAGCTCGATTCAACTGGATTCAGGTCTTCATACGAGCCATACCCGGAAGCCTTTCCAGAACTTTTGACTCTCCAGGTCACAACACATCGCTCACAACACAGGCATTTGCCCGAGCAACAAGTTATTCTAAACTTGGACTAGGTGAGTACACCTTGAGTCAAGAATATTTAGTATGCTTCTCTCTAATGACATTGTTGTTGTCTGTTTTTGCATCATTTACTAACAGTCATCGCCAAATAGCAAACATGAGCTTCTGGAAGCACCTGGCACAACCCTTCATCACAATATCATACCACGTTGGCAACGCCGTATACCCTCCTCCAGGAGCTATATCTCGAGTATTCTTATGGAGAGTCATAAATGCTCTGGTTCTAGTTGGAGTCCTGCTCTCGTCGCTCTTCATACCTGGTACTGGTGGCCGAAAGACAATTAAAGAAGTCTCTGCTCTATATCATACATGGTTGACTCCTGCTGGGTGGGCTTTTGCTATTTGGGGGTATGGCGGTCTGCTTTTGTCTGCAGTTAGAGCGTGTAGCTCATATCTACTTTTAGAATCATATATACTGGCCAAATCATATTCGTGGGATACACGTTACTCCCGTCAACACTAAGACCATCGCCTACTCAAACTCCGTCTGAAACGGCATACCATATCGTGACGCAATGCATAGGACCATGGTTTGCAATCTCTGGACTACACCAGATCCTATGGTTTTACACATTTACATCTGAAATGATTGATGCGTCGACGCTAGCTCTTATTGCAATTAGCATCGTGAATATGATCATGTGGTTTAGAATCACATTGTAGGTATATTCCACTTCTTTTTTTGGCTGGACTCCAAACACCAACAACTCGTCATCTTTTTATCAGGTGCGTAAAAGACACAGAAGCATATGAAGCAGAACGCCAAGCCTTCCTCGTCGCAGACTCCTTTTACGCTGACGATGAAGAAGAATCAGACTCAATAATCCACGGCCTTGGATCCATAAACGGATCTCCACCATCTCTCAAGACATACACATTAATACGTACCCCAATCTCATTATACGTTGGATGGACACTTGCCGCATTAATAGTATCGCTCTCAATATCCCTAATCCCAGTCAAGGATGATAACTTAAAAGATGCGGCAAAGTCGAGTATATGGCTGATTGCTCTGGCGATGCTTATCGGGCTTGTGTTTGCTGTGTATGGGAGGGATGTGTGGGCTACTTTTGCTGTCGCGTGGGCCCTCTATGGTATGAAGATACTCAAGTTTGTTGTTATCTTATTTTCGCTCACACTCGTTTGTTTTTGCAGGTATCTCATACGGACCGTTAGTACTAGCACATCCAGATTCCGGATCATCTGAACGTATCAGTACAGCTGCAACGGCCGGTGCTGTGGTATTGTTGTTGCTATGTATATTGATATCTGGTGCGAACATCGTGACTCGCTTGTCAAAGAATCGAATTACATTGCCTATATAAAACTAAGCACACCACAATTCATCTGTTGCAGCTTTTTGTACTCATAATAATATAGCAAAAAATGACTTTTTATACAAAGAATAAGCAAATATGGGTTTGAGAAAGAATGAATGAAGAGAGAGGTGCAAAACCACATTGAATTTAAAACATGCAGACACTTATTTAAACATGCAGACGCTTTTAAACAAAAACTACCATCTAGCATTTGGCTTAAAGCAAAGCTAACTCTATACTGATTTTGTTGCTCTTTTGCCTTTTTTGCTAGTGTTATGTGGTATTCCCCGCTTCACGCTGTCCCTGTTGACAAATTGTCCCAAATCGTGCTTCCATTTCCATTGGTCTGATGACGAGCTACAACCACCCCGGAGTTTCCCCTTCCATTACCATTGGTAGCTTGATGAGGACGAGAAGATGATGTATCCGAGTCTGCATCCGAGATATTGCTGCTACGGCGATCTTCTTCTCGACCATCATACCAAGAGAAATCATCCAAAAGTGTTGTTCTGGCTTTATGTTCTACGAATATGTTGAGCATTGGTTGGCCCACTTCCTTGTCGACTTCTTGCGTGTCGCGACTGTTTGTGACTGGTTTGTTTTCGTTATTCCTTTTAAGGTTGGGGGATGTGTTGAGTATTTGCGAGCAAACCAAGCGTACTCACAGCTCATACCTGACACGAAGGTGCTTCAACAAACTATTTGGCACATCCTTGACAAAGATGAATCGTACTGCAAAAGTCCCCTTATACTTGGAGCCTTGCAACCATACATCTGATGATCTATTCCAGTCAATACCAGAAGCCATTTCAGCAACACCACAAAAGTGACCAGATGCGTTGACGGAAAAGAAGAGATAGATTGGACCAAGATGAGATGATTCTTGCCATGCTTGGCTCAAGCGACGGTTGCCAATCTCTGTTGATGACCAAATCGAGTATTTTATAGATCGGTGGACGTCTTCTTCTGTATAGCTCTTGATTACAAAGTATCGAGCCTAGAAAGACGGTTGATGTTAGATATTAGTGGTTGTGGCAAAGAGGAGCCCACGGAAGTCGCGATCAGAGTTCCAATGGAGGCTCTGTCACACACTCACATTGGGTGTTTTGCAATTGAAAGTCTTGTGTGTTAGATTCAGTCCACGAGCCTAAAATGAAGCCAATGAGAATACCGAGCTGTGTTGAATTCTTTGAATTCATTCATCACGTACCGCAATGAGTTCCTGTACACGTTGCTTAGCAGGCCCATCCAATGCAAGAGAGTACCTACTGATACTTGACGAAGGAGCACCAACCAAACCTTTGGCTACACCATGACCATTTCCAACACTACTTCCAGGATTTCGCATCCTCGAGGACGATTCTCTGATATTACCATGACCATTCCCCACACTGCTTCCAGGATTTCGCATCCTTGAAGGTGATTCGCTGACATCAGGAGATGCACGATCATTCGAGTATCGTTCATATGATGACGCATGGTGCAGTGACGGTGTATAATTATTACTATTATTGTTTCCTCGTTGTTGGCCAGAATAATGGTTCGACGAGGTTGCCATACCACCATGATGGTTGTGATGGTGATCAGAAGTAGCAGGTGGAGATGTATATGGTGCACGTTGTTGTCGTTCGTGTACAGGTGATATTGGGGGTATATAATGGCTATTGTTATTGGGTATAGTTGGTGGTTTGGCAGGCGTTTTTGCGATTGCAGCCCAAGATATTGGTTTTGCTGTTGAAGCTGAAGCTATGGATGATGCAGTTGATGAAGCTGATGATGATAAGGCTCCTGCTTGACCATTGTGTGTATGTAGCAGGCCTGGAGGAGGAGTTATATCGCTATTATAGGGTATCTTGCTATTTACAGATGCAAACATAGCAGCTGCTCCAACGCCAGATAATCGTGGTGATGGACCTCCACGCAGTAAAGGCGATGGTTGAGATTGTGGTGAGAGAGTTAGATCAGGTACTAGAAAGAAGAACGAAATGAGTTGGCAATTTTATTGAGACAACAAAAAAAAAACCCATATCACAAGAAATATGAAAGTTTGACCTTCTAAACCCAGTCCAACACATCCTGAAGCAAACAAGTCGCTTTTATCTTACCCTTACAACCTCGCCTTTCAGCGGACCGTTCATACAACTCGGCAGAAGTTCGCCTTTCACGTTGCAGTATGATATCAGGGCTATCAAATGTCAATGACGTGACAGAAGTCGACAATGAATCATCTATATAATCATCAAAAGCAGGAAGCTCTTCTGATGATGAATACGATGGCGACCAAAGCCCCCAGTCCAATCCTCGCCTAGAAGGTGGGGAGATTGCTTCTTGCAAGTTGTGAGAGAAGCTATGACGAGACGATGACGACGATGACCCGTTTATAGCATTCCAAGCAGATGCATCAAATGGTGACGATGATCGTCGAGTGCCTATAGGAGACGATACACTTGAAGCGTAATTATCACGTGTTGGATAATCCGATTGACGGTTTTTATTGTATAGAGATTGGTTTGGCGTTGGAGAAGTGGTTGACCATGGAGTTACAAGATAGGAATTTGCCTGCGTTTCATAATAAGTTGAGTGAGCAGATGTCTCTGGAAGTAGACGTTGAGGAGAAGTCCATTGTGCTTCAGCTAGATTCGAGTTTGATGGAAGCCTGCTGCGTGGAAGTGGCATAGTATATGGATCTTCGTATTGCTGGTTTGCAGTTGGTTCTTGAGCATTCCACAATGATTCAGATGGTGTCAAGGCATTGTGTCTATGATTTGGTTGATGTTGAGGAGCGATTGCGTTGTTGTATGGAGGTAAGAAGCCTTGGGCCTGTCTTCTCTCATATCCAGGAGGGGGTAAATGTGGCATTTATTCACTTTAACATCAAGTTCGCCAAGATGATCAAGTTTCGAGCCTACTGCACAAAGAATTGGGTGTAAAGAAGGGAGATCAGAACGGGAGTATCAGTACAGCAGGAACATGAGAACAATGGCACTTACCTGTGGGATATATCTTGAATTTTTCCCTGTCTCCTCTGTTATCAAGAAACAAGTAAAGATTCACGTTCAGTTTCGTTTCGTAGCAACTTGTAATGTGGTTGACTGATTTAATACACACAAACCGCAAAGAAAGAAATTCACAAATGTTGGCAACAGCAACATGTGCAAGAGATCCGAAAATTTATATTCAAGTTTCGCATTGAATAACCACAAACTTATGACAAGTTGACACCTGTCTTTGACTGCATTGCAGAGTATTGGGTGATTCGGCAGCCTCCGATCAATCAATTCTTGTAAATATACTTCATATTCAAGCGTCTTTCGAATCTTCCAGGTTGACCTGATCAAGAATGATGATATCAAAACATTGACTTGGCGAAATCACGTTGAACGCACTAGTTCATGGTAGCTTTGAACCATTGTCTTGTGCATTTCCAGTCAAAATACACGTAACAGAGTCTTTTATCTACGTGTCCTCCGCTCCCAAACTCTAAAGAGTCTCCTCTGGTCCTAGCAGCCCTTTACAACAAGCAACTGACAAGAGCTTAATAGATCTAAGCTGTTCAATGGTAGAACGTCGCTGTGAAATCATATAATAGCATATTGTACCGAATCCATTCATCAAATCACCCTCCGATCCTCAAGCTTGCAAGCCAAAACACATTCAACACATCGCAATGTCTTCTTCAAAGCATTTCTACGTGGTGTCAGCTCATAAGGCATCCGCCGTATCTCTCGCCGTGAAAGGAAACTTTACTGGTCCTAATGACTTAAACCTGATTCTTGCGTAAGTCATTCTCGTTTTAAGCACAATTTCGGGTTGTGTGCTAGCTATCCAAACTTACCCTGCAACCATTACCCCATCTTACTAGGAAGGGAAGCAATTTCGAAATCAATCTAGTTGCTGAAGATGGTCTACGTAAACTACTGGACGTGCCCTTATACGGACGAATCGCCGTCTTGGAACTCTATCGACCAGCTGGACGAAAGACAGATCTCCTCTTCATCAGCACGGAACGCTATCGTTTCTGTGTATTGTCCTGGGATCCAGACACGTCTGAAATCATAACGGAAGCTATGGGTGATTTGGTAGAAAGAACTGGCAGACAAGCTGATCAAGGTTGTGCTGCTGCTGTCGATCCTAAATGTAGAGTCATCGCAGTACATGCCTACCAAGGTATACTCAAAATCATTCCCATGCTGCATGCTGGAAATACCAAGGGATGGGTTAGTTCGCGAGGTACCGATTCCGCTGCTTCTTCTGCAAAGGGTAAAGCAGCTGTGCGAGAACGAAAGATGGGAGAGTTGGCTGATGTGTTCAATATAAGGTCTGAGCATTTGGGAGCTTCTTCGCTCCGGTCTCGAATTCATCACTGACCGTCAATCTCGTAGGCTCGATGAGTTACAGGTCCATGCAATGACCTTCTTGCAAGGAGACGAGACCCAACGACCATTGTTGGCCGTATTATGTCAAGACACTAAAGAGAATCGTCACGTCAAGACATTCGAAGTGTCTGTGCCTCTCAAAGAATTGGTTGAAGGCCCTTGGTACCAAGCAAATGTAGATAGTGGTGCCAGAATGCTGATTCCAGTGCCTGTTGCTTCAGGTTTGTCCTGATTCGTCGAAAACGAGTACTTAATCTCTCATTGTCCGATTTACTAAATCGATGTTGGATAGGTGGAGGTCTGCTTGTGATTGGAGAAAAGACAATTTCATATATGAATGGAAGAATTCCACCTGTCGTCATTGGCATGAAGCTTACCATTATCAAAAGGTAGTTTATCAACGTCATATCCTTTTTTCGATCGCGCACCTAATCCTTCAACAATTACCAGTTGCGCACAGATTGACGCAGATGGATCACGATATTTATTGGGAGATTACCTAGGAAACTTGTTTGTATTGGTTTCATTCAAGGCAAATGGGGTCATTTCTTCATTGAGATTGGAAAGACTGGGAGAGGTGAGCAAAAAAAAGCTTCGACCGGCGATGTCTTTGGTTCTCAAAGATCAACATCTTTCGCAGACATCGATTGCAGCAGCTCTCACTTATCTTGACAATGGATATGCCTATGTTGGTTCTCATTATGGAGACTCGCAGCTCATCAAACTCAGCGCCGAAAAACAAGAAGCTGGAGACTTTTTCCAAGTAGTCGATACATACCCTAATCTGGCACCCATTGTCGATTTCGCAGTTGTAGATTTGGAGAGACAGGGCCAAGTCAGTAGTTAATCTGCCGTCTTGAGTTTCTTATGGCTTTTTTGCGAACTGAAACTTCTCCCCATTCTAGGGCCAGATTGTCGCATGTTCTGGTATCGGAAAAGATGGTTCATTACGTATAGTCAGAAATGGTATTGGTATCAATGAAATCGCGGAATTAGAAATGACTGGTTTGAGGAGTGTGTGGTCGCTACGACCACATGCTGAGGCTATACATGATGATACCATTGTCCTGTCATTCACCAACGAGACGAGGCTTTTACATGCTGATCCAGAAGGTGAAATAACAGAGACAGAAGATGGAGGCGCCATGAGAATGGATGAATCTACTCTCTTTGCAATCAATATGTGTGGTGATTGTTTCATCCAGGTATTGACGAAAAAAAAACTACCTCGATCACATTGAACAAGCAGCAACGCTATAATGTTTTACTCAACCTAACGTTCATCTTAGATAACAGCGTCAGGCGCTTACCTCCTATCAACCTCCGACAAGATGCTAAACCATTCATGGTCACCACCATCTGGATGCCGTATCATCCAGGCATCTGCCAATTCCACTCAAGTGCTACTGGCTTTGAGTGGTTGCCATCTCGTATACTTACAAGTGAATCAACAAAGTCGTGTTCTGGAAGAAGTCTCTACTACGCAAATTGAGCATGAAATATCGTGCGTGGATATCGCACCTTTAGACAGTGCCGTATCTAATGTTTGTGTTGTTGGGCTGTGGGGTGAAGGAGGTGTTCAAGTTTTGGCTCTTCCGTCTTGGAATGCGATAGCAAAGGAGTCCTTGGGTGAAGGTATGGAACCATGGCATACGATAGTGGGCGCTGTTTTGTCATTAAACTCTTCAAATTAGAGGTGATCCCTAGATCTGTGCATCTTGCTACTTTTGACGGAGTCGCGTACTTGTTGGCTGCTCTTGGTGAGTAAATGAGGGTTCAATGCTGCTGGCAAAAACACTAGAATTTGACCATTTTATCATCTAGGTGACGGCACGCTGTACAATTTCATGATGGATGCCACTACGGGCACGCTGAGAGACAGGAGAAAGATATCCCTCGGTACTCAACCTGTCGCACTACGACCGTTCCGTGGTGCCGATGGACGAAACCACATATTTGCTGCATCAGATAGACCTACTGTTATTTATTCAAGCAATCAGAAGCTCTTGTATTCAAACGTCAACCTCAAGGTATTATACATGGCGAGTCAGCTCTTTTTGTCGCAATTTTAACTTGCTTTCATCAATTTTAGGAGGTTATACATATGACACCCTTCAATTTGGCTGCAGCACCGAATGCATTAGCACTCGCTACACCCGACAGATTACGAATCGGAACTGTAGATGATATTCAAAAACTTCATATTCGTACTATACCACTTCGGGAGTTTGCCCGTCGAATTGCACACGATGATGCTCATAGAGTGTTTGGCCTTTTGACCACACGACTTGAGGTAGATGATGCTGGTACAGAGACTGAAAGGACGTTTTTCAAGGTGCTGGATGATCAAACCTTCGATGGTAGGTCTTGATTTAAACGACAGTTTTCTCCGTCTCAATTAACAATCTTATATTCAATGTAGTGATTGATGTATTCGAATTGGAACAATTCGAAATACCAGAATCAATATCCGTCATGAATTTTTTTAATGACCCACAACCGACTTTTGCCATCGGAACTGCATATGCCTTCCCAAACGACGAAGAGCCTACCAGAGGTCGTATTCTGCTCTTCAGACTAACACCTAATCGGCGAATCTCATTAATCGCCATTACCGAAGTACCTGGATCCGCATACGCCATAGTATCACTACAAGAACGACTAGTAGCCAGCATAAACTCCCGTGTCGTAGTCTTTAGCTTTGATCCTACGAAAGACGACATAACTACCCGTCTCACAGCCAAATCATCGCACCATGGTCATCTCGTCGCATTGTATCTAGCTGCTCATGGTCACTTCCTGTTGGTGGGTGATTTGATGAAGTCTGTGTCCATATTACGACTAGGCGCAGATGATTCCTTAGAAGAAGTCTCGAAAGACTTTGCTACACATTGGATGACTGCTGTCCAAATGCTGGATGATGAGACGTGTATAGGTGGTGATTCTAGTTATAATATCTTGGCGTGGAGGAAACGATCTGAAGGAGTCACTGATGACGAGAGGCAGAGGTTGGAGTTGATTGGGGAGTGGCATGTAGGGGATCAAGTTAATCGGTTCCGTCATGGTGAGTTGTTGTGACGAGGACCGGTAAAGATGGTCGTCCCTGGTCGGGATTAGATCTCTTTTTTTTTGATCGCTATTCTTATTACTTGCTTCTCGTTACGCAGGATCGCTCGTCATCCAACTACCAGACTCTCAACCACCAGCCATCCCACGCTTCCTCTTTTGCACCCTAACAGGAACACTGGGTGTAATCTGCACCCTGAGCGATGAAACATTCGCACTCCTAAACCAAGTAGAAGTCAACCTCCGTCAAGTAATCAAGGGAGTAGGAGGTCTAGATCACGCTGAATACAGGTCCTTCATGGATGACCGACGTACTGGACGAGGAGGTGGGAAGAACTTTATTGATGGTGATTTTATTGAACGTATTCTTGAACTGGATGCGACTCGATTGCAACGAGTTGTTGAGGGGACTGGAATGGATGATACTGCGAAACTCGGTATTACGTCTGATGCGCTTTTGAGGTTGGTTGAAGATTTGAATAGGCTTCATTGAAGAGAAGTTTGGGAGGTATATGTATTATAGTTTGAGAGCAATATATGTGATATAGTTGCTACCACGTGGGCTGCATTTTGCTGCGACTATGTTGCCCTTGTCCGTCTATGAGCAAGAACTAATACTTCATCATCGAACCAAACGTCACGGAAGGACGGCACGATTGCGACCGCTGCCTCACCAGCATAACGGCGATTTATTCGCAAAGGTCATGCAAGAGATTCACGCACTTCTACTATCAATATCCTGTGCCAACAATAGCAGGCCATGAAAACGAATCATCTGCCACCCACGGCTCCACTCTAACTAAATCCTCGAACGGATTCTCGCCAGTCGTAACATCCAAGTCCCCACCGGCCTTCTCGTTAAGCTCAACACTGTATCTTCCACGCATACAAACACGTCCTAAACGGATTCGAGTACTTGAACCCAGGGCAATCTTGAAATCACCGACTAATGGATGGCCCACCGAAGATAAATGCACTCGTATCTGGTGTCGTCGACCTGTAACGAGTTTGATTACGAGGAGCGAAGCGTGGGATTCCATAAAGTAGCCTCGTTTAGTGGTCGTGATGTGTGTTGTTGCTGCTTTTCCGGCTTTGTCGACGAACACCTTTTGAGCGTACTGGGGTATTGGGCTATTGGTTCGTCGATAATGAATCTGGAGGTTGAATGGTCGTCAGAAGCGTCATGGTATGTACGAGGGAATGCTTGTTCTTGGGCTTACTCGTCTTGCATGACGTGGCCACGAATCATGGCTGTACATTTCTTTAGAACCTGTCGCCGCACGAAGGCTCTACAAAAAGATACGTGTGAGTATAAGGCAACAAAACGGGCAGGAATGTTTTCATACCGTCTAATAATTTGGGTATTTCCGCATGGCCCATATTTGAATCCCGCTTGTAATAGTATCAATTTGATGGGCTGGCAGAAATTCAGAGCGTAATGACGGGAAACGTTTTGGTGTTTTTGTAATAAGCTCTCTGCTGTTGGTGACCATTCTGAGGGTTCATCGATTCTGATGTTGAGGCTACATCAAAAGAGATTAGAAGTTAGTGAGGTGAAAACAGACGAAAGCTTATTGAGGATGTAAGCGTTCGAACTTACGACTTTTCAACAATGACGAAACATGAGGAATTGTGTAGTATCGGTCATCGAGAAAGTGCGATTGTACCGTTTGTCAATACCAATTATATCTGATACGTCGACGGGTGTTAAGCCACAACTAGGCTTGCAGCAACAGGCTTCGAGTCCCCTTCCATGTCCTTTGAGCCTCCTGTCATTGAAATTCTGAAGAAGGCGAGAGGAATGTGAATTCCGACGCAACATTGAACCACTATGTGAATATATACGTGTCTCTAATCTATAATTTATAGAAAATTATATATACAGCATTCACTCCACTAATACCGACACTATTATGTACCTATGCTACCTCATTCGTAGAGTCTGTTGCGCCAGAGCTAGTCTTTCACGACACGTCGACACCAGTACAGAGTCAACATGCACCTCGCTTTTCCACCTCTTCAGGATATGATCCACCCCATTCAGCTCACTGTCTCCACTCAACAACATGACAATCAGCGTCTCCTTCATCCGATACTCCCGTTCATACATGATACACAGCGTATCAATCCACGATGCGACTTCTAACGGTCTCAATAACCCAACAGCTGTCTCTACTAACGGTTCCTGTGCTACTAACGGCGTCTTTGACACCACGTCACGAGCATTCGTCTTCATTGTCTTTACCACGGACGCAAACTCGGGCATGATGCGTGTTTTCAAGTCTGAATACATGGATTCTAGTTTTGATGTCTGTTTTGAGAGGAGACGGGGTAGCATATCTGGGAATTCGGCTAGGATGGGAATGGTTGAAAGTGATTTTGATGAGGACAAGATGGTAGCTGCGTTTTGCTGGAGCCGGATGTTTGAGATGGAGGAGAGGAGTTTTATAGATGTTTCTTGTAGGGTGCTCCATGTATCGATTATTTGAATAAACTTTTCAAGCTGTTTTACTGTTTTGATCTTGTCCATTTCCAGCCAGTTTGATCGTTTAGCAGCATGTTACAGTCAAGAATGATCAGTACTATGAGGCTAGCTTCTAGAGCGACGTGGATACGAGATTGCAGGTGTTCTGCTATAAGGTCTAGCTCATCAAATGTGGATGCAACTGCTAAAGGAGATGAAAAGTTGAAGTTGGTGTATGAAGGTAAGCACCATTGATCCTGTCATCAAATTGTCGTGATCCTATTGTTGATGATCAATGAGATCATGCTGCTTCTACGTGAAATCAAGCCTGATGCATCAGATTCATCGTGAAATTTCAAACTCAGAGAAACAACTTGAGCTCATTGACTCATAGACATTTCACTTGCAACAAGCATGTCTGCCAATCGTTATTCAAAATCTTTGTCGACTAAATCTTGCTCTGTTGTGTAGGAGCTATGACCAAGTCAGTTACCTACTTGAAACGTGTATCTGCTGCAACCTTCTTTGCCACCATCTGTGCTACTCCTCTGACTGTTTTCGTGCAAAACCAATCACCGCTTGTCGTCGCGATGCTGTTTTCGTCGGCAATCTTGACTAGGTACGCCTTTACAAACCAAAACTCCACAACGATCTAACACGTTGAATCATTGCTAGTGGACTGTCTACACTCGCCGTGAATTGGGCTTGTAATCCTTACGTTTGCAGACTATACAAACATGCTGCATCATCTATAGACTCATCTCCAATAGTAACAGCTGTGACATTGACCTTCTTTGGTCGAGAGGTCGCGACAACCTTACCAGCATCCTCTCTTACGGGAGCGGCTAGAGCTTTCGCAACATGGAAGCTCAAACCACTGGCACTTGACGATGAAGCACCATCACCTGAGCAAATCCAAGCAGGCAAAACCGTGCTAGCTGGGTCGTCGTCTCCAATGTATAATCGCAAGTACTTTTATGTGCATCAGGATAATGAAAACAGCAGTAATGAGTTTAGAGAAATTGTGGGACTCGTTAATGGTGGTGGGAAACGTGCAACATCAGCTCAGTCGTGGGATGACGTGGTCAAAAATTTGAAAAAGACATAATGTAACAGTACAATCTATGAAACTAGAGTTCTATTTAAATATTGAAGAGGTTTACAGTGTTGGGTATGTGTCAGGCGCAATAACGAGTCTAAGCATGTTGTGCAGCACATAGGACGTAAGTCCCCATATGTCATACTTTTCTTGGTACATCCAACGGGCAGCAGGCCCCATTCCTCGAAACTGCTGTATGCCACGATTATTGGAATCCAAGAAGAAATCTAGTGGTACCTAGAGACCGAAACGCTGATGAGTAGGTTTCTCTAGAAGGTTGAAACAGAGCGGGGTCTGCACAAGAATTGTGTTACTACATCAGATGCAACACGTACAGCAAAGACTTCTGATACTTCATCAGAGTTGAAAGTCATTGTCTGTGGATCCAACTCTCCACAGTATCCTAGAAATGGCGTCACCATTATCGTTTGTGTCCTATCAGGCACCGTTTGAAATGTTCCAAGCACTTGAATGCTAGACGAGGGCAGACTGATCTCTTCCATTGTTTCTCTTAATGCTGTGTCCTCTAACGATACGTCAGTTGCGTCTTTACTTCCTCCTGGAAATCTAACGACCGATACAGAGATTCAGAATACATGTGCAATCTGGCGGTATTTCGAGCGACTTACGCTACTTCACCGCCGTGTTTTCTCATCTTGCGTTGCCTAACTTGGAAAAGTACAGATGGGATGTCTTTCACGGTGCAAAGAGGCATCAAGATGGCAGCTTCTCGTGGCGTGTCAGTCTTCAAATGCCATCTTGGAGTCGGCGGTAGAGATTCTACGATCAACGTAAGGATTTAGTCAGGAATTGTCTGTGTAGATGACAAAATTTCAAAGAGATTCATACTCAGTCTGGCGGCAAACGTTGCCAAAGTTTCAGGATCAAATACAATTTTCCCAGCTTTAGAACTGTATCCGCGATGAACACACGATGTAGCGAGCCTCCGGTAGATCATTTCTGTGGATGATGATACAAACCAAATGTTTGGACATTGATGATGTTGGATACCATCAGAAGAAGGAGGTATTCTTGAGGGTCAATAATTTCAGTACGTGTAAAATGATCAAAGGACGCGGAAATTACACTCAAATAGCCGCTTAATCGCTCCAAAGGGACGCACAGCATTCAGAGCAGTTGCTGCAGCATCCCGAACCACAAAATCACACTCTATTGTATCTTTGAATAGGGCCGATATAGAGAGAACATATCAAGCACACATCAGAACTGCTGATGAGCATCGCTTTATCTACAGATCACATTCAGCCATGGAAGTACGTGGCAATAACATACATTTCAGCTGTCTTGATATATGTGAATACTGACCATCTGCAAACATAGAATCAAAAGAACACTTTTTTGAGAAAATTCATATATGACATGGCCCATAATCACCTGAAAAATGCTCTAGACCGCTTGGGCAAGGTCCCACTTACAAAGGCCCAAATTGCAAATGTGGTCAACGATGAAGGATGTTTTTTGTTTCCGACCTCAAAGGACCTCTTGCCCAAAGGAAATATTCGCTTTCAAGTCACGGATGTGTGTCCCTGTTTGGTCAGGCTGTAGCAAATTCATGCTCACTGCTATTTGAATCTAGATGTTGGAACCACGTAAGGATGGAGTCATTCCAATCGAGATTTCTGATGGCCAATACACAATGAGAGCTCAGTTAACAAAGGAGTGTATTGAAAGTTTTCAAGAGTACGTACGCCTTATCGCCAAATCTATTGTTTATCGAAAAGCAGGCTTGACATGGATCTTATATGGCTCTATACTTAGGAATGACACACAAGAGCAGGGAATAGGATCTATGAGTCATGCACTCATGTATGCAATGAAATACAAGCTGATCTTTTCCTGGCCACAAAGATCACGATTTCCTACTTTCTACCTTCACATTGATGAGTGGCAAAATAAGAGCGGAGGGACAGGTGACCCAATTTTCGAAAATTTCGGAGCTCTCAGAGATCTATACAACGACGTAGCTATCACCACTCTTATTGACAAACTTCGAGAGTTTTTGGGCAGGTAAGTTCTCAGCAACATTTTCAATGACCCCAGTTTTGATAGCTGACCACATTCCCAAAGACCAATTTTCCCTGATTTGAACGCTAGAGCTCCTCTCCTTGATAAAAATGTGCCAGAGCACGCAGAGTTGATCAGGAGAGAATCTGTCGCTCCACTACCTGTGGATGATACGGCCAGCACGAAAGAAGTGCCACCAAGACCTGCTCAGCAGCATATATCTCATCAAGTTTGTGCCTTTGTAGCTGCGTATTTTCAACAACGATGGGTCCTTACGATTTCGTGTATTAGGACGTGGCATCGAACAGACCTTCATGGGCAGCTCCCACACTTGGAGAAGGATCTTACGCTGTAGGGGAATTGAGAACAATTCTTTCAACTTTACGTTGTCTTCTAATACTGGGACCGCTAGGCTGGACTCGTTTCTTGTAACGACTTACTGGAAAACGGAAGGCACCGCATGTGGGGTGTATGACAACACTTCTTTTGGTTGCTGAATTGTCATTTGGAGCCTTACAACTTCTAATTACAGGATTTCACTGGTGAAGACTGTGATTATGCCCATCCAAATCAAGCAAAGTGGGGAACGCATGAACCACGTTGTAAGTGGCAACCCTCGTTTCCCTTGAAGCAGATTTGAAACTTTTTGATTTATTTCTAGTTGGCTTGCCCGTGTCGCCTGACCATTGCAGAAGAACACAATCGCAAAGTCAACTGCAAATAACCCCACAACAACTCAATCAGCCACAACAAAGTCCACAAGCAAGTCAACAGCCGCAAAGTCCACCACGGTCTCCAGTTAAGCCTGTCAGTGTAGAAGAACATGGATATTTAGGCGCCATAACAGATGACTTTGAAACTTTGGAAGATGATGAAGATCTACAAGATGATACAACGGAAAAGGATGATGACGTTGCCAATGTCGATGTCACCTCTCGACAAGGCGTTGCCAAAACGACGCCAACTCAAGCATATCGTAGCATAATCCCACAACTCATTCCTGGAAGTCTACGTGGCCCTACATTTATGCAACGACAGACACTCAACGTTGCTGCTCAAGCAGAGCAGCCAGTACCAGATCTCACCATTCTTCGGAACTCAGCGGCAACAGTATCAGCCTCTGTAGTAGCATCACGTCCTGAAAATGTCGATCAACAAGTGGTCAGTCACGTTGGTCTAGGGGCAGATACACCAAATGTCGATCAACAAGTGGCCAGTCACGTTGGTCAAGGGACAGATACACCCATAGCGTCAGATCGTGAAGATGTCGATCAACAAGTACCGACATCGCCAGATGTGACATCTAATACCCGTGCCGAAACGGATACAGAAGATATGAATTTATCTCCAGTAGACCCAACTGCTAATGGGTTGCATGAAGATGATGCCAGAACGGATGCACCTCAACAGAATGTAGCTGATAAAGTATTCAGCACTGAGAATCATCAGAGCGATTATCCACAAAGCCCATCTCCAGAACTGTTTGATGGCTCTGGCACAAGAGACGTATCCCAAGAGAATCTGAGCAGTAGTGCTGAGGACGGTAATCTCGATCAACAAGAGGCACCCTATAAATACGTCCAGGGCAGTCATGAGAATCAACAGAGTGGTGAGAATCAACACGGTGATGATTCTCATATGTCACCATCACAAAAGGCAGCCAATGATAGCTCTGAGCGTCAAGATGATGATTTAGAACACAGGGAAGGTGATATTATAATACGGGAAGATGATATAGCGCAGGAAGATGATATCGTACAGGAAGATGGTCTTGAGACTGAGCAAGATTGCAATGAATTCGAACAAAGCACTACTAAAACAGAGCTAGTGTCTCAGGATGATGCGGATGACGAAGACGTGGATGCTATGGTCCTCATAAATGGTGCGAGAGAACTACGACCTGTTTTGTCTCAGTCTGAAAGGTAAAAAAAACAATGCTGGTCAATCTTTATTCATGGTCTGAACCAAACTTACATTTCATCCAGAACCGTCAGCTGTACACTCGCCTCAAGTCTAGTACAACGCCCCGTACTCTCACCAAGTGAATTCCTATCTCCGACCTTCCTTCCAATCAATATTTCACGTGTTACAGAAGCATCTGGCTCTTTGACAGATTATCATAATGTAATACGAATAGGAAAATCGCCAACGACATTGGTAAGTCCTTCAGATGACTCCACTACCGTTACAGTCGACGAGCAAGGTCTTATTGGATCAAATACTGTATCCGTCGAGGATGATTGCGAAAAGGTTGATGCTACTCCGACAATGGCTGGTAAAGAGCACAGTCAAGTGTCAGTAGCCAGTGATGTCTCTTCAAGGACAGCTGGAGATGGTGCTGAGAATGTAGGCAGTGAGAATCAAGACATTGAAAATGCTCAGGTTAGCATCAGACTATTCCTTTTTTTGCATTTTCTTTTTTTGAATACTCACCCTGCATGCAAACTAATGTGCCTTATTTTCAGCATGGGGTTTTTATTCTCGAAAGCTTCAGAGATGTTACGAGTGACTCCCACATGAAAATGGATGGTAAAGTCGCTGCATCTCAGACTGTCGCTGATAAGGGAGCTGCAACCATAAGTGTAACCATAGCTGAGATTGAAGACCCAACTACGCAACAATCAAATGAGAATAAACTACCAGAAGATGCCATCTCACCAGAACTGTTTCCACCAACCCAATTTCAACAGCAGCCTCAATCATCACCCATAAAGACAGCCTTGAATAAGCCGCAATTGCCCATTAAGCCAGAATTGCCCATTGTAAAGCCCGAATCAACCTTTAAAAGTATTACGGACGAACAGATTGCAGCTGTAAATCTGATGTCATGGACCAATGTCATGTATAAGGAGTATCCGAATCGAAAGGATCCTGCTAAAGTCACGAGCGAGAATCGATGGCGTATCAATGCTGCCGTTACCGGGTACGTCGCTACTAGAATTGGTGATAAAGCAGCCATAAAATGTACGCTGCCGAATAGGAAGGGCAAGCCCGATGCAGCCATTCCTACCATATTACGAGATCCTGCCTTTTATGATTGGTTTGAGTCGTTTATAATGAGTGGTGAAGTTGGAAATGGTTGGGATCTGGGTAAACGAGTAAATGCAGACCAAGATATAGAAGAACGAGTAAAAGCGGATGATGGTGTAAACGAGGATATAAGACCTGCTGAACCCAGAAAGATTGTGTTCGAGGGAAAGGTCGCAGAATCCACAAAGACGCGCTTTCTGATAGAGCACGAGGAGAGAAAGCAGAGGGAGAAGCAGAAGGGCAAGAAGAAGGGAGATGAGACGGAGATGAAACCTAAAGCTGCTAAAAAGGATGGTACTCCTAGGAGCCACGTTGGTTCTGATGTCAAGACTGAGAAGGTTTTAGACTCTCATACTCTGAACTCCGACAAGCACATAGATGTGGGCCATCGAATACTGTCTCGGCATCCTGATGATGCCAAAGGTGGTCTAGCAATCACGTCGGTACCTCAAGAAGAACGTCATCGTAGTGAACTGAAAGCAACAAACTCGAAACGAAAACTTGCAACAATAGATATAGAACCACAACATGTGAAAAGATCAAAGATCCCCACACCCATTGGACCTAATGATGCTTCCAATCCCATTCCAATGGAAGTTCTTCTCATACACGATGAGCCAATATCAGCAATACCACGTAAACGTCCATCTCCAAGTAAAACAGAACAATCTGGTAGAAATGGTAAACCGTCTACGTCGAATGCTGGTAACAACAGCAATAACAAGAAACCTAAACTAGAACTTCCTGTGAAAGGTTCTAAGACTGATGAAATAATTGTAATTAGTGATGATGATGAACCACCACCACCACTAGCACCAGTCGCTCAGCCAAAACCAGCGCTGGTGAAGAAGCAAAGTCTAATCCGAAACGATAAGACTAGCAAGGTAAAACAAATACATCAAACAAACCAGCTAAAACTACCAAATCATCAACAATATCAGCAGTAGCAAAAGCACCAACATCAGCAGCAAAACCATCGAAACCATTAATGTCAGCAACCAAAACGCATCAACGTCAGTAGCAGGAAAACCATCAAAAGCAGCAGTAGCAAAACCACCAACAGTAGCAGCATCAAAAGTAACAACAAACCATCACCATCAAACAACAATGGGTAACCTCAAGCCTCCGAAAAAGTCTGGGACTCTGAAAAGAACAATACTATTTTCCAAACATGCAAAATTATATCTGTATATATAAAGTATGCCAACTGCAATATAAATTACACCTCAAGAAAGTAAATTAAATGATTGTGCACGTGTTGCTTTGCGTCGTTCTACCTTCATGACATGAGAGACGAAAAGAGCAAGAGGAGACGAGCTCCACTTTCTAGATTTAGTACAGCGTAAGGCATCTGTACACCAAACAAGATGATTAATACAGCAATTGTTAGGATTAAACGAAATGTCCTAACATTTGAGAAATAAATGATCAGCGGCTTTCTTTTGGCGACAGCAAGCTCAAACAACCAAGACGTGGCGGGCCTTACCATTCCCCAAGACGAGGAACCTGATCTTGTCCCAGCATTACAAAGCACAGCAATATAACAGCAGACGAAGAGTCAATCAAGTTTGAAGTCCATCCTTGTGCTGGTATATACCCAGACGTGACATCCTTCAACCATGCTAAGAGACCAGGTCCAGAGAGAAGCATAGAGTAGCTGATGAGTGCCAGATTCATTTCCCGGTATGCGTTTACTCGTTTTGCATGGAAGCTTTTCTATAGAAGGACGACAAACTCAATGGTGAACAATGGTACAAAAACCGGACGCTACGGAAAGGAAATGCACTCTCAAACTTACTGGATGCCCCCACAACATCAACCTCGAAGTGACACACTTCCAAAACTGCACAAGCAGAGCAGCAGCAACCAATACATGATGCGGCAAGACAATAGATGGTACCACAGACACAAACAAGACACTAGATATAACAGCCGTCTTTCTCACAATTCCAGACATGGGAGCTGGCGGTCGAGGATTCCATTTCGCAAAGAATCCCAACGTTGCAAACAGCCTTACGAGGCATCCCAACAACCACCATACGACGAGGGCTAAACAACCTGAAAAGATGTATAGAGCGGGTATGATTGGCGGGAGGTATATATCAGATATGCCTAGCATGAGATTCTTTGTGGCAGTTTTCAGGGCATGGCCTGTTGCTGTGTAAAAGTGTCGTTGGGGTATTACTGCTAGTGCGAATGAATCAAAGCGGGATTGGAAGACTGCTGTGCCAAATAGTGTTACTACGGGAGATGGCATTGATAGCATATGGTCTACGAATGCTCGAGGGAAGGACGGGTCTAAGTGTAATGATTGTCAACTTCATGCACAAAAAGTTGCGTTCCGTTTTTTGCTCTTGGCACAATGACGAACCAAAAAAGGAAGACTTGCAAGGAGAAAGTACAGAGGAAAGGTTTTTACCTTGCTTTTGCCATCCAAAGTACCCCAAACACGCAATCCCCATTCCAACAGGAAACACAATCCAAGCTATTCCAACTCGTTCTACCAAACGACCAGCGCTTGCATAGAGATCAAGTTTGAGATGAATAGTAGTGTTTCCATACTCACATGCCTTGTCGGTAATGATTTTGAACAGGACATGTGGGCCTGGATTGTTTGGTGATGCATAGAACGAGAAGCTGGAAGGTGTCTTTGAGCTTAGGAATTTTTCATCCGATGAAGGGGGGCTTGATCCATGTAGAATGGGCCAGAATGATGGAGTTCGCTCTGTTGGGTGAAGAAGATTTGTTTGTTTGAGGACCGACAAAAAAACTCAAATAAAGCTGAGACCCGCGGTCATCACGTACCGCATGATGAGTTGTAGCTGACTTTGTACTTGAGCAAATCACTTGTTATAGCAGACACATGGATTGCATTTATAATGCGATAAGATGCAAAGGTTTTGGATACACCTTTGACGAGATCTACCGGACAAAAAAGAGTTCCAGCAACATGAAAGCATCTTGATTTACACGTGCTTACCAAGCAAAGATGCATCGAAAGGCTCTCCCAGTTTACCACTACTGTACTCAGCACTAAATATCTCGCCGCCACCCAGCACATCCAATGCAAGGTAATTGTTAAACCCAAACAGAGGGTTGAGTACAGTAGCATGCCACACTCTAAGATCATAATCAGCACCTTTGCTACTGGACGCCAACGGAAGAGGCACCCAATGAATGTGATTGACACCCAGACATTCAGCCTTAGTCGAATTGCCCTTTACGGGATGTGAACACGAATAGATATTCATGAATGGTGGTTTCCCATCTGCGGTCTTTTTAACAGCGATGATTTCTAATTCTACTCTAAAATGCTGCGGTATAGGAAAGAACTTTATCGTTCGAGTGGTACTTGGTGCTGGTTTACGGAATGCGGATTCTACAGACACCAGTTCTTCAATGAGATTGCTAGGAAACTCGACATATGGTGGTTTCTCTAACGGGTATTCTCCAGGCGTCCACATAAACCCACTAGTCAAATGTGGGCGCAATTGATCTACTTTTTGATTTGCAGTCCATTCTTTCCGTCCACAAATCATGGCCAATGACGTTGCTATTGCCTTGACGAGCTGGTTACACCATAGTATCTGACGATGATCGCAAGGTGTCCATACGTTTGGTATGCCCGTAGAATACACAGTCAATCCTCTCGAAGGAGGAACGAGTGCATCCAATTCCGTCAGTCCGGACGACACCATTTCGTCATGATTACCACCAGCTATAGATATTACAGCTACATTGGCAATAGTATGATTACCGTATCGTTCCATCCGTGTTCCATTCCGCCAATACTCGTTGACGTGGTCGTATACTTGCGTCAGCTTCCAGTCTAGAGCTACGGGAGGATTCTGATGCGGTGCTGCGAGTGTGTATATCACATCTATGGTGCCGCGACGGTAGGCCGGAAGTGTAAATACAGTCCTAGCTACGACACCTCCCATAGAATGAGCCAGCACGGAGACCTGCAACCGTGAATTGCGCGGATATAGAGACAAGACGTACGGTATTGCAGCATTCACATATTCGGCCTGCTCTAATATCAGTCGTCCAGAAAAGGCCGACATTTCTTCATTCGTTTCCACTATGTTAGAGGACGGTGAGCGTTTGGATCGAACGCAAAATATTACGTAACAGTTTGCACGTGTTTTACCAGCGAAGAAATCCAGCTTCCTCGTCCTATTCGAGCTATCCCTATGCTGATTATGAGCTACAGAAGCAATAGATCGAACTTGTCGACTTGATCCAGCATTCCCAGGGATAAAGATGACTGGATATCCATCAAGCTAACCCCAAAACATGTAAGCAATCGAATCAAACAGACATGATCATCAATAACAATTTGTACCTTGACGTGCTCATCAACCTGCTGGCCTTCCTTATACAACCACAGCGAATACTTGGCAGATGTCCGTGTAGCGGAGAGTGACGGGCCATCGAGTTTGACATAGTTTGGATACATATAAGTCATTTTACATATGTTCTTGTCCTGGCCATGCCGTAAATGTGAATTGACTGCAATGCCAAACACGATAATTGAAAACAGGACTATTCCAGGTAGGATGCGTAATAGGAAGGGATCTGGAATGGGCTTTGGTGGGATCTGGATCCTAGGAAGCATGCCAGAGGGCCCAATTGCAGCTTTGCTACTGCCAGGAGCATCCATTGCGATGATGTTTTGAATTTGGCGAGTGAGGAATGCTTGAGACCGTTCTCAAGACAAGTTGCTCTAGTTCGAGTATTCGAGTACGTCTTATTCTTGATGATCTACGGAAACGCGTAAATCACGCAAATCTTGTCGTCTCTACGCTAGTTGGTGCCGAGCTTATGAAATTTCGAACTGTAGACTTTTCTAACTTTTCAAGCTTTCAACGGTAGATCATGCCACTATCACTAATCTGGGTATTATTGGCGCTAGATCTATACATATGGAATCTACCATACTCGGAAGCTCTTCCCAACAGTGCTGTCTATGGTTGTCCAAACGCAAACCGAGGTAAAACACGACAATTGTGCACGATCTCTGTGGTCGTTTTCGTAATTGTTGAGCAAAATTCGTATTTTCGTCGTCGCAATTTACCATTGACAGCCGCTCCAAACACATCGGAAGGTTAACTGTCAAACATATTACACCTATGACAATATGACAGCTAACATTTCGTATACTAACCCACTGATTCACCTATTAATAGGCATTGTCTTGACTATTGATGATGGACCATCTAATACTACAAACGCAATGTTGGACACGTTGAAAGCATTAAAAGTGAAGGCCACCTTCTTTGTGGTGGGAGTCAATGTGGTCAACCATGAAGCCGAAGTGAAGAGAATGGTTGCCGAGGGACACGAGGTTGGATCACACACGTAAGCGTCCAAACATTGGTTGATGCTGTGCATTGAGTTGTCATCATGACATTTCCTCGTCTACAAAGGTGGTCGCATCAAAACCTCACAAGGCTCGTCGAAAACAAGGATTTTGAAGCTCTTCGAACTCAAGTTGATGAATATCATGAGTATTTACACCGGCTTACCGGAAAACCGATACGATATTTGAGGCCGCCTTATGGAACTTGGTAAGAGCCAAAAAAAAACTAGAACGAATATCAATCCATAAGGTCTTTTAACCCTCAACCCCTCAGCTCCGTTGGCGTGAATAGATACCTTCGCGAACGTGACATCGTTCCCATACAGTGGAACAGCGGCTGTATCGATTGGTACAACCATAATATGACTATAGAGCTGCCATTTCTCGTGAATGGAATGGCTGATTCGGGCGCTATAATATGCCTGCACGATCAACAATCTACTGTGGACGGTATGCCTGATCTAGTGGAGGCCTTTACGGGGACAAATACGACTAGATATATCAATCCGCAGGGACGGAAGATCATTACTCTAGACGAGTGTTTGCACGTTTGCGATGAGGAAGAACCTTTCCTCCATGGTCAAGTGTAAAATGCTTCAAACTGACCTGTATACTTTGTAACTTAATTGATAATCAATATTTGAAAATGTTTCTCTTAGAGGGTTGAAGGTTTACAGAATGATACACAAATAACATATTTTTTTAATGGAAGGCACCACCACCACTTCCACCAGTAGAATGATAGTTGGCATCAGACCCATTACCACGTCCCGCTGCAGGCTTCGCGGGTGGTTTACCACCCGAATTGAATGTTGCAACAGGTCGATGCACCAACCCTTCAGCACCAGTACTGTCATTGATAGCCCTTTCAGATTCCAGTTGTTTAGTCCACATCTCAAAGTATGTACCCTCTCCTTCATATTCAGAAGCTGGTACTTTATCGGCAGCTGCTTTTGATGATGCGAGACGAGCTAATCTAGCTTCACCACGAGCGAGTAGTTGCTGATGCGTACCGCGTTCAACAATCCTTCCTTCTTTGAGGACGAGGATTTCGTCTGCGTCGACAATTGTTGAGAGTCTATGAGCAATCACCAAAGTCTACAAGAGAAACACAATGTGGCATTAGCGAGAGGAAAAAATCATAACTGCAGAGGTTGAATTGCTTGCCGTTCGATTTGAACACAGATTTCGCAGAGCTGATTGAACAAGTCGCTCTGTTGTACTATCGAGTGCACTCGTTGCCTGTTGTCGTCAAGTTGCGTTAGCAAAAACGTGAAGGAGCATGAGAGAAAAACTCATTCTCTACCTCATCAAGCAAAATCTAAAGAACGAAAGCTTTGTAAGATGAAATTTGTGCAAAGAAGGCAAAAGGACGGAGACATACAATTGCAGGATTCTTCAGAATGGTCCTAGCTATAGCCACCCTCTAATTTCAAGGTTGAATGAGTTTCAAATGTATCATCGTTGACTTCCGACAACGTTACCTGCTTCTCGCCTCCACTTAGACGCAGCCTATTTGATAAGAATATTAGAGTCATCGAATATCTGGGATTTGCATATATTTTTTTGTCATTGCTCACCCTCTTTCTCCAACTTTGGTATTATAACCATCCACAAACCCTTGAATCTTTTCATGTATCTGAGCAGCTTGAGCAGCCTGCTCCACTTCAGCTTCGGAAGCTGTGGGACGTCCATATTCGATATTATACTTTATCGTATTGTTGAAGAGTACCGAGTCTGGTCAAAAAACAAGATCAGAATTCCCAAAACACACACTGAAACACAGCAAAGACGAACCTTGAGGCACAACTCCTATAGCTTGTCTCAAACTTGTCTAATGGATCAATGCAAGTCAATTTTGTGACAGGATACTTATGCTTCATAGCAATGCGAATGAGGTACCTGAGTAACATTTCGTATGTCTTGTCCATCAATAGTGATGCGGCCCTCAGTTGTGTCATAAAAGCGGAAAAGAAGTCTAAGCAGAGAGCTCTTTCCAGCGCCTGTTGGACCAACTATGGCAACGGTTTTGCCAGATGGGACCTCGAATGAGATGCTAAAAAACGAGGACATAACTATATCATATATCTACAGGACGCAAGACGTTCACGTACCCTCGAATAACAGGTTGACGAGGATCATAACTAAACGAGACATTTTCAAAGACGACTTTGGCTCCTCCTCGTATTTGAAGAGGGGTAGCGCCAAGTGTGTCTTGCACAGAAGCATTCTCTTCAAAAAGCTCCAGCATCTTTTCCATGTCGATGAAGTTTTGTTGGATAACCCTATGAGTAAACCAAACATTAATTGAAGCATATAGAGACCATTCCAATAAAGAACTAAGACGCATACCGATAGTATGTTCCAAACCAGTTGAGTGGTACTAGAACGAAGATTGGTAAGTATCGGATCAAAACTTGGGTAGATGCAAAAAAATGCAATTTGCCAGAAAATTATTCTGAAAATGTCAAGCTGCATATCTTGGCTACTCATTCCTGCATATCTTGGCTACTCATTTTGCAATGTAAAACTCACCATATAGCTGAGTAATATATGTCAAAAACATCACAAAGTCTCCAGTACTCAACAGTCCATCAGCAACCTCTTTTGCACACAACAAACATCCCACCAGCAACCCCAACGTAATTATGAGATTTTGAGCCGTATTCAAAATGTTTAGTGATGCACTCGACACAAAATCAGCCTTCATGAACTTGATCATGGCTTCGTCAAAGAGAGCCACTTCCCTTTTCTCTGCACCGTAGTATTTGACAGTCTCGTAATTGAGGAGCGAATCTACGGCTCTGGTACGTGAGGCATTATCAAGCTCAATCATTTCTCGCCTGAATTTTGCTCTCCATTCAGTTATGGCGATGGTAAATACGATGTCTGGCGAGATAGAGAGCGAGTTAGATCATTACAGTAATGGTGAGTTGTCTGAAAACTGTCTTACATAACGTCATTGTAACAAAGACAATGGCACCAAACCAAAATCCAAACTGCCAAATGAAGAAAATTACAGCTACAAGGATGTCTACGAAAACAGGCACAATACTAATGGGATTGAAATGATTAGTAACTCACTTTCACCTGCATTAGCGGCTATTACTTCCTGCCTTACTTGAAAAGTAGGTATGACAACAAGCTCCCTATACTGTTCACACCGCGATCCATGATACGAAGTAGTTCACCAGTCTTTCGGTTCAGATGGTACTGTAACGATAATGAGTGTAGATGATCTAGCATCTTGACTGAAATCTTTCGAGTTGTGTATTGGGCGACGGGAATCCACAGATATGATTGCAAACTGCTCAGAACTCCCACGCCTCCTTGGAGGAATCTCAGGCCAACAAAGACAAGAATCAAACCTAGAGATGAGGGGATAATTGTGAGTGTTTCGCATACTTCAAAAACAACAACAAGCTATACCCCATGCAAAATACGGCGTCTTGTCGCCGGCTTCGTCACTACCACCTGGGGTTAACGCATCGACAACGGCCTTGTAATTCTAAAGAAATCGAAGATTATAAATGTGATTCAAATTCTCGAGGTTTGGAAAGTTCAAACGTTCTTACGAAAGGAACAAGCACATTCACGACTCGACCAAGACCAAGAAGGAGGAAGCACGACAGAACCATCAGTTGCAGATAGAGCGAGTCTACAATTCGATTCGAGTTAGTCATTTTAATGATAGAGTTGAAAGATATTTCTCACCCGGCCACAAGAACGGAAACAGTTTCTGAATCTTTTTCAGTACGTCAGCCCATCCTGTTTTTGGTGTAGTGCTATTGCCTTGGGCATTAGCTTCAGCATCACGTTGCCTCCTTCTAGTCCTTGCTTCTGACACAGAGTGTGATACACTGGCAAGCAAGATCCCCACAATGAAGACGTATCTAGCGGCAAACACGCCCATGAAAACATAATCAAGTCCTACTAAGGAATTACGCTGAAGCCACAAGATAATCCAATTATACAGGGGAAGAGTTTCTGCTAATAGTGCTATCACGTAATACACGATGAGCCCAGATGGTAGTGGCCGTAGATCGCGTGCTGATGGCACGCCGTCCGTGACCAATGCCGATAAGAAGAAGAGAAGAGTGGTTGAGATCAACCACGCGAAACTCATTAGTAGATCAGCAGCAGCTTCAGAAGGCTGTTGCACTACATTGGCAGGTAGATCTGGATGAGTCGCATGATACAAGTCGATGCCCAAGTCGATCAGACATGTAACTAGTATCAGCGACGAGAATATTTTTGTAGCGAGCAACAAGAAGAAGCTTGTATGACTCTGTTGAGCTGGCAGTGACTAGGAGTGAAACAACAGGGTTAGCTACAAGCGCAACTCGCGGAACGTTTTACGAGACTTCAAGCCAGACGAGAGATCTCTCAATTGCGAGAGCAGATTGAGAAACTTGCATTCAACTGACAGATCTACCTCCACAACAACAAGAAGGTGATGATGGGTGCAGATGTACTCACGATATGTGCGTCGTCCCCATTTAGAAGAGGCTGCCGTTCAGCAGACAATGCATTCTGAGATTTTCGGAAGGAATAATACCATACAAGCGTGACCACCAACGACACAATTAGCAGTGTTGACGTTTCGACGACATTGACCAAACATACTGAGAGCACATTTCCATCTAGATACGGCGGAGCACAAAAATTGGAGTCTAGAAGTGACATATTCGAAAGTTCGAGCCTCTTTGGAGCTCCTTTTCTAGTAAAATTCAATGAATGCTGTCTGCTCGAGATGACGAGTTCTTGAATTTCAAACGGAACCACCTGGACGAAAACCACCCACAGAGTAATACGCGGAGCTCACAATTCAGTGAAGAATGGCTTAAAAAGCTCAGTTTACGCGATCCAGACGTAAACCGGCCAGTATTCGACGTGACTTCTTAGACTACGTATCTGGAATCAAAGTTAGCAAAGTGAGCAAAGGCTAGCTTCAAACCCAAGACTTTCGTAAATCCTGAATCTAAATACGCGTCAAGAGATGCCTTAAATCTAAATCAATTTGCTTTTCAAGGTCATCCTGTCACCGCTCCAACTTTGAGCTTACAAGAAAATCGCCAATTGGAGCAGAACGATCCTTCTCACATATAAAGAACAAAGCAAGGCTTGTGATCCTATATACAAGACACTGTCGTCATGAGAAAGCTCAAGTTTCATGAACAAAAGCTGCTCAAGAAGGTGGATTTTCTCGAATGGAAGTCAGACCAATCGCTCAGAGAAAATGCAGTCATGAGAAAGTATCATGTTCAGGACAGAGAACATTACATCAAGTACGTCATGTTGAATCACTTTACCGCGTCGCATTCCTCTTCTATGGTTGTTTGTTGGAACTTGTCTATCCACATCTGGATTTTTTTTTCTAACTGATCAACCCAATTTTACAGATACAACAAGTTATGTGGAAGGATAAAGCGCACGGCCAATCTCTTGTCGCTACTAGATCCAAGAGATCCGTTCAGAACAAAGGTATGCATCTGTGGCTACGTGAAGTCTTCCACTCGCCAGCTTCCATTTTGAAGTTTTACGTCTTCGACTGCACCTCTAACTTTCTCCTGCTGCTCTTTTTTCAGACTTCAGAAGCCCTCATGCAGAAACTCTACCAGATGGGACTCGTAACCAGCAAAGAAAACCTATCACAATGTGAAAAGCTCACCGTATCTTCATTCTGTCGACGACGACTACCCATCGTCATGCTCAAACTCAAATTGTCTGAAACTGCCAAAGAAGCTGTACAGTTTATCGAACAAGGCCACATCCGTGTAGGTCCTGAAACTGTTACAGATCCGGCCTTCTTGGTCACCAGGAATATGGAAGACTTTGTCACTTGGGTCGATACTAGCAAGATAAAGAGAAATATCCTGAAGTATAATGATAAACTGGATGATTTCGATTTGCTATAAAGTGATTTATAGACGCTCATAGCATAAATAGCATAGTAGTTTGTACATAGTTTGCATGCCAACAACAGAATTCATAGAACTACTATCAAACTAGAATGTTTCTTTTATTTCAAATTGGGGTTTTGTCAATTAGATCATTCGGACTAAAGAGTAGCTCGAGCAGTGACGGGCTCAACGTATTTTTCAAACCTAAACCAAACTCCCACCATCAACACTGATCCGTCTGGGCCTCGAACGGCACCAGCATCAACAGCACGTTGTCTCTGACCCTGTGATTAAAATACGTTGATTGGATCACAATCCAAACAGCTGGAAAGACTGCCAACAAGATGTTGTACATACCACTGGATCAGGGCAAGCAATATCAATGTACAACATTCCGGGCCCTCGCGAGTCGACCTCTTTCACAAAGGCGACAGTGCCGTTAATATATTGCACAGCTGGGTTACGGTACTTGTCCAGCGTCAACGGCAACTCCAACAACTCTGCCCATCGTCTGGCAACATCAACAGGCTCCTCGTCCTTTGCTACTTGCAACGTCACTCCAACGACATGTAAATGAGCTGTGGCCTTCATAGTTGGCACATAGATTGATTCGTTAGTTCCAGCAGCTGGCCAGTTAGAGAATCGGTCCAATGGTGATCCAGACGTTGTTTCAATCTCGGGAAGTATGCCTGCTGCGAATATTTTGGGATGGTATTGAGTGATAATCCATTCGGGTCTATCAGCTTCGTATGCGATTTTGACACCCTTTGCAAGCAGACGCTTCCTGTCAGCTCTGGAATCAGTTGACTGCATGATTACCATGTACCTACATATGATAAAACAGTGAGCAAGCAATATACAACAGCTGGTGGCCGCGAAGCAGACGGAAGAGTTTACCCTCCATCACCAAAACGACGTTCAATAAATCTGCCTCCAGTCGTCTCGTTCATTTTCGCTGGATTAATGGGAGCTACGACTTCAATAATCTCGCCTCCAACGGGAACTAGTGTGAGAACTACATTAGCCCACGAAATTTGCAAGTTGCACACAAGTTTGATTTCGCACTAAGAATGTTGTTTAGACCCCATTTGTCGACTCCTGGATCTCGGTAAACTACTTTTGAGGGAGCTAAAGCACTCGTCTATGTTGGATAAAGTCATAACGAGCGGTGACGTTGAAATTGATAAACCCACGATTTCCACATACAAGGATATGCTCTGCTTGTTTCAAGTCTTTGGCAACCAAGGCAATCTGACGAATCCTGAGTGATGGCATAATTCAAGTCTTGAGAAATCTAGGACTGGGTATGTTAGCTTGGAAGGACGTGTTTCGTGTGTTACACTAATTTGCTTCTGTTTGGATTTGGCTGGGGAACGACAGACGCAAAGCGAGTTTTCTTCCCGTGCAGAGCGCACTGCATCAGATAGGAAGGAAGGAATAGGAGTCTCGCCTGCCATAGAGAGTCGCTGTGCCGGCAGTCTCCTCACTTAGCTGCTTTTGTACCTGAATTTCCGTCAAAATCAGTGCCGCGCGACATATCACAATGCCAGCCCCACTTGTGGACCAATTTGGTTGCGATTTTATACCGCAGTTATGTGAGGATGCCAACTGGAACGTCGACACATGCATCATCAAATACCCTGCTTTTCTTGGAAAGCAACACGTCGACTATCGGATTGTAGCTCGGTGCCGATTCTGTGAAAAGTTATATAGACACCCACATATTCCTCCTGAAGCACGGCCTGCGCTTAGGCAACTCTTGAACCCACTTCCTGATCGATGTATGTTACTTTGGAGACATGCTGGAATTTGGTCCTCCCATGCTGTAAAGAGCTAACTTCAAATCTTAACAATTTAGGGGCAGGATATATTTTCACAGGACAGCACTTATTCCACAATCATCCCCATGTGTGGACTGTCTATGTCGCCTCATTCCATTTGTTTCCTAGACCTATAAACTTTGGTATCGCAACGCCTCCGGCAACTCCTCCACCCGCAGATTTTCCGATGATGAGCTCACGTCGGCCAGGGAATGTATGTTCTGGGAATGGAGGAACATGATGGACATTGCGATCTATGACTTCCCTGACAATCAGATTGGTCAAGGTCAAGGATTAACGGATGCTCTTTGGAGAACTCATACGTTGTTTGGAGCACTGGACATCAACCAAGCACGCATGGAGTTACGTCGTCTTGCAGGAACCTGTAAATAGGTCATTACTTTCTCGGTTCAAGTTATTTCGTTCACCTTCTCGAGCCTGCTAACATCTGCTTGTCAGTATGAAGAGAAACTGAACATTCTTTACTTGTTGGAGTTCTGTTCTACTGAACTCTCTCCAGACTTTCTTGTCGTTGCCAAGTTTGCTATATTCACGGCCTCGTATATGGGTACAAGACAACATAAGGTCACATGAATTTGGACAGGTGTGCATCGCTTGCAAGCTTCCATGATTTAAGCATTTGACTTGAAGCTGATACTGAAGGGTATGAATCTTGTTTTCACCAACTTCATGGCTCGTGACCCTGGAGACGTGAAGGCTGTCGACGATTTTACAGTACTTGTCAAAGAGATCCAATATAGTTCGCTGATTATGAATGCTGATCTATGGCCATGGCGTTTGACCTACTGGTTGGTCTCGTTTGGCCATGCGGTATGGGCATTTGGCACCGGGATGAAGTACCCATATATCCCCACAATCGAATCGTTCTCAACTGGACTGGTGCTCCGATATATGTAGACCTCTCACCAGAAGACTACGAGACTATCATGCAACACAGTGACGAGTGGGTCAAGGTTGATGCTGATGCAGTAGTGAGAATGCCTAAACCAAAAGCCACCAACAAGAATGAGAATACAAGAACGAAAGAGCAGGCACATCTGGAGGGTATCAAATCATTGGTGCGACTGAGAAAGCTGAACCGACGTGTTTAGTCGGACGGGTACTTCAAATAATACAATAATACACCAACAATTGAACTATAACCGTTGTTTGAGAAGAGGCGAAGAAACGTGCCTCATAGTTCACTGGTCACATTTGCCAGAGTTTCGACTTGCAGAAAACAGCCTTGAACCAACGGCGATCGATAGGTAACAATGTTGTCTTTTGGAAAGTATACTATAATCGAGCTTGTCCACCAACCAATTTTCTCCAAAACACACTAGTAAACGGTAAATATGTGCCCTTGTCCATATCCACCACAAACAGTGGATCCTTGACTTTGCTTGGATCAACACCTTCGTCACGGTAAGAAGTCTTGATGTTTTTGAATGTCGAAGTCATCTGTGTTGCTCTAATTCCAAAAGATGAGGCAAATGAGTATACATGTCGGTAATGTCTACAATGTTGAAACTTACTCGGGTAGAATCCTTAAAAAGATGGGTAGAGAAGGCTTCCTCACACGTTCATTCAGGTGCCTGTAGATTTTTCTAAAGTCCAAGTTCGTGTACGATACTCCATCCTTCAGAGTTAAGGCTGCACAGCCTGCTCGTCCTTCATGATGAGGTACGATGATTCCGTACACGTTTGCTTCAGCAATGTCGTCAAGCCCAGCAAATGCATGAGAGACCTCTAAAGAAAGTTGTCAGGGATCAACCGTCACAATATCTTTGTATGTATCAGGAAGGAATTACCGAATGTAGACGTATTTTCACTTTTCCAACGATCTAAACCAAGAAACCAGTCAATTTGCAGATCAAGTTCAAAAAGTATGGGCTATGATTCTTACAGGTATCTCCCAGCCGATCAACAAAGTAGAGAAAGTTCCTTGAAAGTAAAAGTGGATTCAGTTTCGGACTCAAACGAATATGAAACGTCTCGCTTACCCTCGAGACAATCTCAAAAGGTCACCAGCACGATACCACTGGTCGCCTTCTCCTTCCACATCGCGTATCACTTTGGAATTAGTAGCCGCTTCATTGCCGTAATACCTAGATTGTTTTTTGTTGAGCTTTACTGGAGTTTGGTCGTTCTTGCTCCCAAAAGCTCACCCAATAAACGGTCTGGCAGCTGAAATCGGATTCAGCATTTCGCCTATCTCATCATATTCACATTCAATACAACGACCTCGTGAATCACGAATCAATTCCGAAGTTGTAGGATCAATTTTGAAGATCTTTCCAGGAGCAACAGTTCGTATAATACTGCCGACTCTACCACATGATCCAACACCAGCATCATCCGAGTCGGGAACGAGATTGCTGTATGCGAATAAACCCTCTGTTGCACCATAGCTAGTGGGCAAAAAAAGTGTCAGAAAGTTATATGGTTTCTGTTGAGATCTAGATGTCTA